CTATGGTGATGTCACACTCAGTCAGCCACTCCTAATATACGCTATATGTGTAGATCTTGTTTGGGGCCAAATTAGTAAATGTAATGTATACATATACTGCTGCTGCTTCTACTACTACTATTGCTGCTGCTACACTACTACTGCTGCGACTGCTAGTACTACTAATATTACTGCTGCTCCAATACTGTTGCTACTGCTGCTTCGACGACAACTTCTACCAGCCAAGGCAAGGTTTATTTGTTTAGTATAGTTTATACACAAGGCAACCCAAAGTCCTTAACAACACAGGAAAATAATCACAACTATTGTTAGCACCACCACTACCTCAGCTCTCCTCTTTGTTGTCATGTACCAGCTTCATACTATTATGAAGCTGGTACATAGTATTATTTGTATCGCATGCTCTCATAGTCTAACATTTGACTCCTGACTTTGCCGGTGCCTGGTCTGGAGGTTTTATGGCTGAGATAAGACGTTGGATTTATGTATTTAAGATGCCTAAAATACCATTGCTAAAGATTAACTCTCAGACGTGTGTCAAAGTCTCGTTGCTATCTTTAAACGCTCTGTAGATCTGTTGGGGTAAGGTATTTGTAGACGAGTTTATGATGCTATAAGTGAGATTCTTTACTGTCCCCTACTTTTTTGAGCAGAAGTTTGTTTGTGGAGTGACAAAAGGAAAAAAAAAATAGAAAAAATAATGTGGTTGTTGCTGGTTTATGACAGGGGTGAGACTGTATAACCCTCGTGAGTCCGGAGAGTGAGTCCGGAGAGTGAGTCCGGAGAGTGAGTCCGGAGAGTGAGTCCGGAGAGTGAGTCCGGAGAGTGAGTCCGGAGAGTGAGTCCGGAGAGTGAGTCCGGAGAGTGAGTCCGGAGAGTGAGTCCGGAGAGTGAGTCCGGAGAGTGAGTCCGGAGAGTGAGTCCGGAGAGTGAGTCCGGAGAGTGAGTCCGGAGAGTGAGTCCGGAGAGTGAGTCCGGAGAGTGAGTCCGGAGAGTGAGTCCGGAGAGCAGGGAGCGAAACGTTTTCCTCCCACTTAAAGGTACGCTGTGTAATTTCTAGTGCCTCTAGCGTTGAGATCTTATATTGCAGTCTCATATATTGAGATTTGAGTACAGGTGCCTGTAGAGTTAAGGACACTTTTGCTTATACTGTTTGACAGTGCTCCTCAACTCTGTCTTTCACCAGACTGCCAAGTAAAGAATACTTTAGTTTGATAAATGACCGGATCTCTCCAAACTTCTCAGACACTTGACAGACACGTGGAGCCAACATGTAAACAAGACCGCGTTCAGACAGCAGCCCCCGACACAGAGGCTCTACTGAGTTTTACCATGGATCTTTTAGAATATATAGTTTTACAAACGCGGTGTGAAGAGAAGAGACACATGGAGGAATAAAGTCTGTGTGAGGTAAAAACTGTGGTGATCAAAGAAGCAGGAGATATACACAGGAGCAGCAGGACATGGCAAAGCTCGTGTTAGCATTAACGTTAGCCACAGCGCCCTATTTGCATCACGGTAAGAAAAACAGAACATTCACTCTCGCTGCTGATAAAGTATTCTGGCGATTGTTTTGTGGGGATTCTGTGTGTTTTATTTGATGCTTGTCCCTGTATAAGTTTAGTTGAAACTTGTGACATAGTAGTTGGACTGCGCTCGGATCTTCTTGTCAGTGTGAAAAAGTTACGTATTGTTCACGTGTGAGTCTGTTGTGTACAAACTACACAATGTACCTCCTGTTGTTAACGCTGTCTTTGTGCGTGTGGTTTGCGATGTTGACACTTTGCTGCTATGACGCTGGACTTCTGCATAATTATTTTTCTAAAAGATTGTTGTTCGGATCGTTCTTTTACAACTCTGGTCCTTCATGGTTCCTTCTTCCACATTGTGAAGGCACGGTGAAATCAATATCAGTAGCTTATGTGAAACGAAAACGCGTTTCTCGCATCCTTTTTGTCCTTATCCACCACCGGTTTTCAAGATGGCGCATTTACACGGATAGTCCTCCTCTCTCTTACACTTATAAGTACGCAAAGTAAATCCCTGTCAGACTGTACAATAAGTCACTTTAAGTCACTTGCATTAGGACTGAAGAAACCTGCACTACTATTGCCACTGTTTCTTTAATTGCCACTTATTGTACATAATATATCCTGAATGTAACATGTTTGCACACTTCTTTCTTTTGCACAATCTTGAGTGATTCTATCCATGCCAAATGTGACATGTAAATTTCTCCTGTGTGAGATCAAAAAAGTCTAGCTTATCTTGAAGTACATAGAGATATATCAAATATTAAAAAATCTCTATATTTTGGTGAATCAATAGAATTCTGATTGTGGATGGATCCTTATCTCCTCTGACATAGCTCTGTGTCTCTGCTTCCTCTGAGCTCATAATTATTCACACATTCCTGTACTTTTTTGGTGAAACACTTTTCTCATTGTGGGTCAGGACCTCGCATAGAAACAAACAGGAAATGGCTCCTTTTGTTCAGGAAACCTCCTCCTGCTCCTGCTCCTCCTCCTCCTCCTCCTATTTCTCCTCCTGCTGCTTTGTTTGACTCAAGATAACAGTGAACTTGAAACCTCTGAACACTTGTTATATTTGATGGAACAAACCCACTGAAAACAACTGTTGAGAGTGTAAAAGTCTCTGCTCCAGTCTCTGCTCCAGTCTCTGCTTCAGTCTCTGCTCCAGTCTCTGCTTCAGTCTCCGTTCCAGTCTCCGTTCCAGTCTCTGCTCCGGTCTCTGCTCCGGTCTCCGCTCCGGTCTCCGCTCCGGTCTCTCCTCCAGTCTCTCCTCCAGTCTCTGCTCCAGTCTCCGCTCCGGTCTCTCCTCCAGTCTCTCCTCCAGTCTCTGCTCCGGTCTCTGCTCCAGTCTCCGCTCCGGTCTCTCCTCCAGTCTCTCCTCCAGTCTCTCCTCCAGTCTCTCCTCCAGTCTCTGCTCCAGTCTCCGCTCCGGTTTCTGCTCCGGTCTCTGCTCCGGTCCCTGCTCCGGTCTCTGCTCCGGTCTCTGCTTCGGTCTCTCCTCCAGTCTCTCCTCCAGTCTCTCCTCCAGTCTCTGCTCCGGTCTCTGCTCCAGTCTCTCCTCCAGTCTCCGCTCCGGTTTCTGCTCCGGTCTCTGCTCCGGTCTCTGCTTCGGTCTCTCCTCCAGTCTCTCCTCCAGTCTCTCCTCCAGTCTCTCCTCCAGTCTCTCCTCCAGTCTCTCCTCCAGTCTCTCCTCCAGTCTCTCCTCCAGTCTCTCCTCCAGTCTCTGCTTCGGTCTCTGCTTCGGTCTCTCCTCCAGTCTCTCCTCCAGTCTCTCCTCCAGTCTCTCCTCCAGTCTCTCCTCCAGTCTCTCCTCCAGTCTCTCCTCCGGTCTCTGCTTCGGTCTCTGCTTCGGTCTCTGCTCCGGTCTCTGCTCCGGTCTCTGCTCCGGTCTCTGCTCCGGTCTCTGCTCCGGTCTCTGCTCCGGTCTCTGCTCCGGTCTCTGCTCCGGTCTCTGCTCCGGTCGCTCCGTCTCTGCTCCGGTCTCTGCTCCGGTCTCTGCTCCGGTCTCTGCTCCGGTCTCTCTGCTCCGGTCTCTGCTCCGGTCTCTGCTCCGGTCTCTGCTCCGGTCTCTGCTCCGGTCTCTGCTCCGGTCTCTGCTCCGGTCTCTGCTCCGGTCTCTGCTCCGGTCTCTGCTCCGGTCTCTGCTCCGGTCTCTGCTCCGGTCTCTGCTCCGGTCTCTGCTCCGGTCTCTGCTCCGGTCTCTGCTCCGGTCTCTGCTCCGGTCTCTGCTCCGGTCTCTGCTCCGGTCTCTGCTCCGGTCTCTGCTCCGGTCTCCGCTCCGGTCTCCGCTCCGGCTCTCTGCTGGTCTCTGCTCCAGTCTCTGCTCCAGTCTCTGCTCCAGTCTCTGCTCCAGTCTCTGCTCCATTCCCTGCTCCAGTCTCTGCTCCGGTCTCTTCTCCGGTCTCCGCTCCGGTCTCTGCTCCGGTCTCTGCTCCGGTCTCTGCTCCGGTCTCTGCTCCGGTCTCTGCTCCAGTCTCTGCTCCGGTCTCTGCTCCGGTCTCTGCTCCGGTCTCTGCTCCGGTCTCCGCTCCGTCTCTGCTCTCTGCTCCGGTCTCTGCTCCGGTCTCTGCTCCAGTCTCTGCTCCAGTCTCTGCTCCAGTCTCTGCTCCAGTCTCTGCTCCAGTCTCTGCTCCAGTCTCTGCTCCGGTCTCCGCTCCGGTCTCTGCTCCAGTCTCTGCTCCAGTCTCCGCTCCGGTCTCTGCTCCAGTCTCCGCTCCGGTCTCTGCTCTCTGCTCCGGTCTCTGCTCCGGTCTCTGCTCCGGTCTCTGCTCCAGTCTCCGCTCCGGTCTCTGCTCTCTGCTCCGGTCTCTGCTCCGGTCTCTGCTCCAGTCTCTGCTCCAGTCTCTGCTCCGGTCTCTGCTCCGGTCTCTGCTCCGGTCTCTGCTCCGGTCTCTGCTCCGGTCTCTGCTCCGGTCTCCGCTCCGGTCTCTGCTCTCTGCTCCGGTCTCTGCTCCGGTCTCCGCTCCGGTCTCTGCTCTCTGCTCCGGTCTCCGCTCCGGTCTCTGCTCCAGTCTCTGCTCCAGTCTCTGCTCCAGTCTCTGCTCCAGTCTCCGCTCCGGTCTCTGCTCTCTGCTCCGGTCTCTGCTCCGGTCTCTGCTCCAGTCTCTGCTCCAGTCTCTGCTCCGGTCTCTGCTCCGGTCTCTGCTCCGGTCTCTGCTCCGGTCTCTGCTCCGGTCTCTGCTCCGGTCTCCGCTCCGGTCTCTGCTCTCTGCTCCGGTCTCTGCTCCGGTCTCCGCTCCGGTCTCTGCTCTCTGCTCCGGTCTCCGCTCCGGTCTCTGCTCCAGTCTCCGGTCCAGTCTCTGCTCCAGTCTCTGCTCCAGTCTCCGCTCCGGTCTCTGCTCTCTGCTCCGGTCTCTGCTCCGGTCTCTGCTCCAGTCTCTGCTCCAGTCTCTGCTCGTCTCTGCTTCAGTCCTGGTTTCCCGCTTTGGACACAAACTCACTTCCCGTTTTCTTCTTTTTATTTTGCAGAAAAGTTGTACAACTCCCATGGCCCTGAGCTCAGGAGGTCCCTGTTCTCACTCAAGCAGTTGTTCCAGGTAACAAAAGATTTTTTGAATATGAAACATCACACTTCTGTCTCTCGGTCCTGCAAAAATACATGAAAACTACTGTCATTTATATCTTTTCTTAACCTCTTAACAACCGCCTCATTTTGGCTCGTGCACAATGGTTGGGCATACCCAAATGTCTTTGCTTATTTAAACACACATCTTACATCTCACATGCTTGTGTGATGCATCATTTTAAAGCTAGAGCCTTCTAGTTTATGTAAAAAACACTAAAATAATGTTTGTCATTCCTATTTTCCTCTGCATCCTTTGAAGTTTGGGAAAAAAACCCAATTTTTTTAGCCTCGCCTAACATTTTCAATGTCTAAAGGCCCTAAAAAAGGCATACTTCATTGTAAGTTCACAATATTCAAACCCTCTGTTCATTGTGTTGTTGACAACAACTGTCTAAAGTTTCAGACTTCTAAGTTTTATAGTTTTTATGCAGTTTCTCCTTTTCATCAAGTAGTGCACATTTGGCACAATTTGGCACAAGTGTGCCAAATATCTTTACTTACATTTAATCATCATAAAAACAATATTTTTTATTATTGGTACTTATAAGTTACTAATCTATGTGTGTTTTTCTTTTTTAAATGTCAAAGTTATTTTTTTATGAGTGTAAATTCATTGCAGCTTCGAGAGCGTCTTTTGGCTTCCATTACGCACAATTGTCCAGGCACAACATAAGACAGGACACCATTGTCCCACCCCTTGTTCGAAAGCTTTCCTCATTGGCTACAAGGACATGTCAATCGTAAATCCCGGAAGTAAAAGCAAACAAGTTGGGAGCACAACAAAGATCAGTCCTCCATGCGCAAACAGCAGCACGAGCGGTACTTGCGGGAGCTATTGCAGACCCAAAAATTGGTCTAGCTTTTCGGGAGTAGTCTCATTTGAAAGATAAGGAGCTAAGGAACACGTAGATACCAGATGTTTGGGTGAAAAACAAAGCTAAAAGTCCGTTAAAAGTGAAAGAGTAACATCTGTGCTCTTTTTTTTCGTTTTTTTCGCTAAAGATAAATGCACATTTTTGGATTATTTCTGCAGAATGGATTTTACTTTGGGAAATACAAGTGGATATAATTTTCCTTTGGACTGTTCCAGAGAGAATGATGTATTGCAAGCTGGGAGGAGAGCTGATTTATTTGTACAGCACAAGCCCAAAGGTAAAAAACTATTTCGGAATTGATTTATTTTGTGCCCACATTATGTGTTATATCTTTTGAATGCAAAGTTTGATGTAGTTTAGCTTTAAAATGATATACAGCTTTTGGGGTTTGGTGTTCAAAATACATCTGCTATTGCCAGCAGAACATTTAAAAACATAAAAACGGCCGCCGGCGCGCCGGTTGTTGCAAAGTGGTTAAAGAGAAAATACATTGAATAAATAGATAGTTCTTGCGCATTTGTCATGTCTCTTTCTTACACACTGACAGCCACAGGTTGCCGCATCAAAAGGGCACTGAACCCGCCTTGTGAGCTTGTCTTTTTGCCGAAGTGTTCTCAGTGAAGCGGTAATTCAAACACCAAACTATCATTCAAGCCGCTATTCATTTGTACGTCTGGGGAATTAGGTTAAAACACAAGAAACACGAGGGACCTTACTTTGTATGGAGCGATGTTTGGGTGACTAAAGCTCTTGGGGCTTTATTATTTTTATCCTGGGTTCTCACTGCACATCTTGACCACTCTTTAACTTTTGTGCTTTCCATTTGACCGACTACAAAAACGCTGCTGTAACCGTTTGTCGTGAAGAGTATAAATACTGCGACAGCCTCTCCCTTCCACTCATTTAAAAAAAAAAGACATTTATCCAGAACTTTTCCACCCACCTGCTCACCCACACCCGCACCAGAGACCACATCACCCCTGTCCTCAAACAACTCCATTGTCTTCCTGTCCTATACTGCATACAATATAAGGTCTTTCCTCGTCACCTGCAAGTCCCTTCATTACTCCCATCAGAACGAGTACCGAACCCTGAGGGACTCTTTTCAGAACTTCTAATCACGGCTCAAAACCCACCTGTTCAAAATTGCCTACATTTACACTCATTTACACACACTTTTTTCCTATTTGTCGTTTTGTAAAGCGTCTTTGAGTGTCCAAAAAGCACTATATAAGTAAAATGTATTATTATTATTATTATTATTATAATTATTGATTTTTAGAGTGAATGAGGTCCTTCTGTTGTGTGCAGGATGATAAAGACCTGGTCCCTGAGTTTGTGGCGTCTGAAGGTTTGACGTGTTTCATCAAAGTCGGAGCAGAAGCCGACCACAACTACCAGAACTACATCCTCAGAGGTGACAGTTACCACCTGGTTTAAAGGGACACAACAAACACATCATCACAACACTTAAAAAGAGAGACCCGAGAGAGATCCCAGAGAGAGCCCCCAAGAGAGAGCCCCCGAGAGAGAGCCCCCGAGAGAGAGCCCCCGAGAGAGAGCCCCCGAGAGAGAGCCCCCGAGAGAGAGCCCCCGAGAGAGAGCCCCCGAGAGAGAGCCCCCGAGAGAGAGCCCCCGAGAGAGAGCCCCCGAGAGAGAGCCCCCGAGAGAGAGCCCCCGAGAGAGAGCCCCCGAGAGAGATAGCCCCCGAGAGAGAGAGCCCCCGAGAGAGAGACCCCGAGAGAGAGAGACCCCGAGAGAGAGAGACCCAGAGAGAGAGAGACCCCGAGAGAGAGAGACCCCGAGAGAGAGAGACCCAGAGAGAGAGAGACCCAGAGAGAGAGAGACCCCGAGAGAGAGAGACCCCGAGAGAGAGAGACCCCGAGAGAGAGAGAGAGAGAGACCCCGAGAGAGACCCCGAGAGAGACCCCGAGAGAGAGAGACCCCGAGAGAGAGAGACCCCGAGAGAGAGAGACCCCGAGAGAGGGACCCCGAGAGAGGGACCCCGAGAGAGGGACCCCGAGAGAGGGACCCGAGAGAGAGACCTCGAGAGAGAGAGACCCCGAGAGAGAGAGACCGAGAGAGACCCCGAGAGAGAGACCCGAGAGAGTACCAGCTCGGCCTGGATAGAACCAGGGCCAAGAGGGACTAATGAAGGACCTGGTACCAGTTAAACAGGACCAGTGGAAGCACTCAAAACCGTTGTGGAGCAGGTCCCTGTGCTCCTCAGAGTCAGAGGTGGTTCATATGGCACAGATGTACACAGATGGTGGGAGGGCATGGAGAGACTTGTGCTTTAGAGCTGCTTTAGAGCTGCTTTAGAGCCGCTTTAGAGCCGCTTTAGAGCCGCTTTAGAGCTGCTTTAGAGCCGCTTTAGAGCTGCTTCCTCTCTCATCATTTGGAGCGTGTGTCGGTCCGAGTGATGGCTCCAGAGGTCCAGTGTTTGTGATATCATCAAAAGCAGATTCCCTGTGTGCTTAAATATAGCTGATGTGGAGATTACATAAGTGCAGAGCTTCTGTCCTGTGGGATCTCTGCGGCTGGAACATTTTTTCAGTTTCGTCGGTGGAAAGTGGGATTGGAGTACGACACGTTTAAGAAGCCGCAGTGCTGAGTCAGACGGGTCATTATGGGATTTTGAGAAATGCAGCCGCGTGGATCTGAAGGCCTCTCCACAGACCGGGCTGCTCTGCTCCGCTCCTGTGACAAAATGCAACACTGAGACGCAACTTTGGAATAATTCATGCTTGTCTTTTTAGTGTAGTGTAAAAAGAATTAAAGCTGATGTTACTCTTTCTAAACAACAGAAAGTGGACATTTCACACTACCTTCTTGCTCTCAAAAATTTAATTTCACATGATTTTCCTGGACTCGAGAATAACTTAAAGGGACCATATGTAAAGTTATAATGTTTGATCAAACAAAAATATTCCTCATCTGGAAGCTTCAGTCCTTTATCTAGAGCCTCAGTCCTTTATCTAGAGCCTCAGTCCTTTATCTAGAGCCTCAGTCCTTTATCTAGAGCCTCAGTCCTGGATCTAGACCCTCAGTCCTGGATCTAGAGCCTCAGTCCTGGATCTAGAGCCTCAGTCCTGGATCTAGAGCCTCAGTCCTGGATCTAGAGCCTCAGTCCTGGATCTAGAGCCTCAGTCCTGGATCTAGAGCCTCAGTCCTGGATCTATACAGCCTCAGTCCTGGATCTAGAACCTCAGTCTTGGATCTACAGCCTCAGTCCTGGATCTACAGCCTGTCCATCGGTGGGAGCGGATCCCTCTCTCACTATGGCCCTGCCTCCTGAGTTTTCTCACTTTTTCCCACTGTTTTTTTGAGTGGTTCCATGTCGATGCAGAGGGTCTAAGGACCGTGATGATCTAAGATGTTTAAGGACAATTATAAACATTTCTGGACAGTGGTCATTCCGCTGTTTATCGCATTTCCTGTCACTGGTCAAACTATACAATAACACATGTATAGCCCTATTTTATACTTATAATAGATAGGTAATGACCCAAAAGTGAATCGTTAAAAATCATGTGTTCAATTCTAAATCTTTTGGGGAGTTACCTGAAAGGGGTGTAACTGTTCTTTCTGTAGCAATAGATAAAATGTGTTATTTAAGAAACAAAACATTTGGGGAGCCAGATATGAGCCGCCAAATGCCGACGTTCTGTGCATCCTGTCCTCACAGCAGCTCCATCCTGTTCCAAAAGAATCCATGTGGTTGTAACGTCGTTAACGTTTTGATGATAACTATTGTATTGAAAACTAGAACCAGGAAGTACTGTCACATTAGTCCTGGTCTCAGGTCCCTGCACTTGCTTCTTGTGGCTCAGAGAATAGACTTTAAAGCAGCTCTGTTTGTTACAAGTCTCTCCACGGCCTCACACCAACGTACATCTGTGACATGTTAGTGCCATATGAACCAACTGGGACTCTGAGGAGCACAGGGACTGGCCTCCTGCTGGTGCCCAGAGTCAGGACTCTACATGAGGAGGTAGCATTTCAGATTTATGCTGTTATAATCTGGAAAATTCTTCTTGAAAACGTGAGACATTTTCACACTTTTCATGTATTGTGATTATTTATAATTATATAGCACTTTGAGTTGCTGTGTGTATGAACTGTGCGATATACAAATAAACCGGCTTTACCTGTGAAATGACTCATAAAGCTGATTTCTTGCTGCCTCTCCTCCCTCAGCGCTATCGCAGATCATGCTGTTTGTGGACGGGATGAACGGAGTGATCCAGCACAATGGCACCGTGCAGTGGCTCTACGCACTCACTGGAAGTCCGGTCAGTCACACACCAGAGAGAGAGACCAGAGGGAGAGACCAGAGGGAGAGACCAGAGGGAGAGACCAGAGGGAGAGACCAGAGGGAGAGACCAGAGGGAGAGACCAGAGGGAGAGACCAGAGGGAGAGACCAGAGGGAGAGACCAGAGGGAGAGACCAGAGGGAGAGACCAGAGGGAGAGAGACCAGAAGTTCTCAAGTTTTTTTTGTTATAAATATGACATATTGTTTGTCCTACAGAAAGAGTCTGTAACTAATATTCGACCATACCTTCACTATTTGACTCTTTGGGGTGAGGGTGGTCCTCTCTTTTTCACTTTTTTGTCTGAAAAAGCTGATCTGAAGATGTGACAGAAGCCAGAAATAATTGCAAGTGAAAACTATGCTTGGGATCTTAGTACATAGTTCTTGTTCTGGGTTGAAAGATCCATACTGTACCCCAGCTGTTGTGGCAGTGGCAGTGGTGGTGGTAGTGCTGTAACGATAGATCAGTTAAAAGCATGCCGGGCCTGAATTAAAAAGCTGTATGTTTAAAATTAGAGCCAATCAAAACATTAACAAAGTCTTTTCAGTCATATCTGCTTCTGATTAGATTAGAGCCAAGAAAAACAGCTCAATACTGAACAGCACTGTTACATCAGCGACTTTATGAAAACATCCAAACAGCAGATAACAGAACGCTGTCCCTCACTGAAACACACATCACCTGCTCCATGCCTTTCTCTGTGTGCCGTTGTCTCTGGTCCCTCTCTCGTCTCTGTCTCTGGTCTTTGTCTGGTCTCTCTCTCTGGTCGGTCTCGTTCTCTGGTACCTCTCTGGCCTCTCGCTTGTCTGTCTTTCTGTTCTTTCTGTCTAGTCTTCCTCTGGTCTCTCTAGTATCTCTTTATGGTCTATATCTGGCCTCTCTCACTGGTACCTCTCTCTGGTTTCTCTGTGGTCTCTATCTGGTCTCTCTCTGGTGTCGCTTTCTGTTCTCTCTCTCTAGTCTCTCTTTTTCTGGTCTCTCTCTAGTATTTCTCAATGGTCTATATCTGGCCTCTGTCACTGGTCCCTCTCTCTGGTTTCTATGTGGTCTCTGTGGTCTTTTTGGGCTCTCTCACTGGTCCCTCTCTGGTTTCTATGTGGTATCTCTGTGGTCTCTCTGCTCTCTCTCTGGTCTCTCTCTCTGGTCTCTCTCTGGTCTCTCTCCGGGGTCTCTCTCTGCTCTCACTCACTGGTCTCTCTCTCTGGTCTCTCTGTGCTCTCTCTCTCTGGTCTCTCTCTGTTCTCACTCTGTGGTCTCTCTCTGGTCTCACTCTGTGGTCTATCTTTCTGTTCTCTCTCTCTGTTGTCTCTCTCTCTGGTCTCTCTGTGGTCTCTCTCTGTGGTCTCTCTGGTCTCACTCTGTGGTCTCTCTCTGGTCTCTCTCTGGTCTCTCTGGGATCTCTCTCTGCTCTCACTCACTGGTCTCTCTCTTTGGTCTCTCTGTGCTCTCTCTCTCTGGTCTCTCTCTGTTCTCACTCTGTGGTCTCTCTCTGGTCTCACTCTGTGGTCTCTCTCTGGTCTCACTCTGTGGTCTATCTTTCTGTTCTCTCTCTCTCTGGTCTCTCTGGTCTCTCTCTGGTCTCACTCTGTGGTCTCTCTCTCTGTGGTCTCTCTCTGTGGTCTCTTTCTGGTCTCTCTCTCTGTGGTCTCTCTGTGTTCTGTCTCTGTGGTCTCTCTCTGGTCTCTCTGGTCTTTCATGACATGTATACTCAAACATTATATAAAAACTAGTATAACATATATTAATGTGGATTGTTCCAGGAATTACAAAAAAATACCTCTAAACAAACACTAATAGTTTGATTTAGGCACTTACCATAATTACTACAGTTATAGGACAGAATTTACAGCTAACCCTCCACCACAATGTGAAACTATAGTCTCTTTGGAATGTTGTGATGTCACATGAACACAACCTATTAAGCTGATGATTTGTTTTAGTTTGTTAATGTGTGTCGTAAAAAACACATATTGCAGAAAAAAGTCCTTAGTCATCCACCAGCTGCTGTACATGAGCCACAGTCAGGGACCTGGTCGTACGTTTAGACCTCAGCCTCATTATCACATGCTGTGTGCGTGTGTCTCTGTGTGTTTGTTTGTGTGTGTGTGTGTGTGTGCGTGCTGTTCAGGCCAAAGGAACAGATGACTTTGAGAGTGTTTTAATTTGGGAAGTTTCCCTTTTTGAACCATGAGTCACTGCCTCTGCTCCGGGCACAGAGTTTGTGTGTGGGCGCCCTCTGCTGGTCCTGCAGAGGGCACTGTTACAGTGCTCTTCTCTCCAGTCTCTCTGTCTGTGTGTGTGTCTCTCTCTGTGTTTGTGTGTCTCTCTCTCTTGTCTGTATGTTTGTGGTGTGTCTCTCTCGTTTGTGTGTGTCTCTCTGTGTGTGTGTGTGTCACTGTGTGCATGTGTGTGTCTCTTTTATGTCTTAATATGTGTGTGTGTGTCTCTGTGTGTCTCTCTCTCTTGTCTGTATGTTTGTGGTGTGTCTCTCTCTCTGTGTTTGTGTGTGCGTGTGTCTCTCTTGTCTGTATATTTGTGGTGTGTCTCTCTCGTTTGTGTGTGTGTGTGTGTTTGTGTGTCACTGTGTGCATGTGTGTCTCTCTTATGTCTTAATATGTGTCTGTGTGTGTGTCTCGTATATAAATGTGTGTGTGTGTGTTGTGTTCCTCTCTCGTCTGTGTATGTCTCTCTCTCTTGTCTGTATGTTTGTGGTGTGTCTCTCTCGTTTGTGTGTGTCTCTCTGTCAGTGGATGTGTGTGTGTGTCACTGTGTGCATGTGTGTGTCTCATGTCTTAATATGTGTGTGTGTCTCTCTCTTGTATATAAATGTGTGTTTGTGGCGTGTCTCTCTCGTCTCTATGTTTGTGGTATGTCTCTCGTCGGTGTGTGTGTCACTGTGTGCGTGTGTGTGTCTCTCGTCTTAATGTGTGTGTGTCTCTCTCGTATATAAATGTGTGTGTTTGTGGTGTGTCCCTCTCGTCTGTGTGTGTCTCTCTGTGTCTGTCAGTGGGTGTGTGTGTGTGTGTCACTGTGCACGTGTGTGTGTCTCTCGTCTTAATGTGTGTGTGTCTCTCTCTTGTATATAAACGTGTGTGTGTGTGTCTCTTGTATATAAACGTGTGTGTGTGTGTTTGCGCGCTTCTGGTTTTTGTTTCTTTCTGTGTCACTCTCTTGCCTGTGTGTCTCTCTGTTTCTCCCGTGTGTGCATTTGTGTGTGGCTGTGGGTGTATATCTGTTTTTGTCTGTCAGTGTGTGTCGCTCTGTCTCTGCATGGTTGCCTGGCGCCCTCTGGTGGCCGCTCTGTGACTGTCCTCTTCTGTCCTCAGTCTCGGCTCGTGGTGAAGACCGCTCTGAAGCTGCTCATCGTGTTCGTGGAGTATTCAGATCCAAACGCTGCTCTCCTGATCCGAGCCGTCAACGCGGTGGACGGCAGGAGAGGTAATTTTAAGGGCTGAAAGATGTTGGTAAAACATCTAATTATATCTGACATTTCTGGCAAACATTGCTACTGCGAGACCAGAGAGACCAGTGAGAGAGACTAGTGATATACAGTAGGTACTGAGTTTGATAGATCGAAAGACCAGAGTGGGAGAGGAGACCGGAGTGGGAGAGGAGACCGGAGTGGGAGAGGAGACCGGAGTGGGAGAGGAGACCGGAGTGGGAGAGGAGACCGGAGTGGAGGAGAGGGAGAGGAGACCGGAGTGGGAGAGGAGACCGGAGTGGGAGAGGAGACCGGAGTGGGAGAGGAGACCGGAGTGGGAGAGGAGACCGGAGTGGGAGAGGAGACCGGAGTGGAGGAGAGGAGACCGGAGTGGGAGAGGAGACCGGAGTGGGAGAGGAGACCGGAGTGGGAGAGGAGACCGGAGTGGGAGAGGAGACCGGAGTGGGAGAGGAGACCAGAGTGGGAGAGGAGACCAGAGTGGGAGAGGAGACCAGAGTGGGAGAGGAGACCAGAGTGGGAGAGGAGACCAGAGTGGGAGAGGAGACCAGAGTGGGAGAGGAGACCAGAGTGGGAGAGGAGACCAGAGTGGGAGAGGAGACCAGAGTGGGAGAGGAGACCAGATACTTGTTCCATTGACAACTCTTCCTAATAAAATCATGTCATTAGGTCCAAGTATATCCTTTTTCTCGTCTTTGACCCTTTTTGTTTGCAAAGAACTGGAGTAATTGCTGTTTTTGTGATTTGCTCATCGCAAGAAAGTCCTGGGTGGGATAGGTTTCCTCCAGGTGCTACGGTTTCCCCTACCACAGAAAACATGTACAATAGAAATGAGCCAAATTGTCCGACGTCTCGCTTCTGTCATCACTGTGTGGAGAGAATGGAAAAAATATCGGTATTCCAAAATTGTACTCCTAATGTGTTCATACATTAAATAGTGATACTTAAATACTATAACACAAGACAAAACATATGAAATCAAACGCATATTTGTGATTTAGAGGAAAACATGAAACTCGAATCTGGTTTCTTTCTTTGTTACGACAGCCTCGGCTTATCACATGTTGATTTGCCTGATCTATAATCTCATGTCCTGATAAATGTGGTATCGTCCAGTTTTAATCTGTGTTTTAGAGATTGAGAATCATAAACAAATGTGAGATTCCCCTGTGAACGGACAGATACCACCAGAGTTTTTTGTGTTGGTTTCTCTGTAGGTGAGAAGCCCTGGAGTTACATCATGGAGGTTCTGGAGGAGAGAAACGTGGCCGACACGGAGCTTCTCATGCTCACAATGACTCTGATCAACAAGGTGTAGTATCTCTGACAACTTTACAAATATATTATGCTTCTGTGGAGGTTGAAACTTGGTTCTTCTCTTCTGTATAGTATTAGTTACAGAATCAGTGCACTGGTCCCTCATTATAACACGATTCACCTTTTTCTGTTAAAAGCCATGCATATAATTTAAGATACAGCTGCAGAGGACACCGTGCTGAGGGCTACGGTAAGACCTGAGAAAGGGAGACCAGAGAGGGGAAGAGACCAGAGAGGGGAAGAGACCAGAGAGGGGAAGAGACCAGAGAGGGGAAGAGACCAGAGAGGGGAAGAGACCAGAGAGGGGAAGAGACCAGAGAGGGGAAGAGACCAGAGAGGGGAAGAGACCAGAGAGGGGAAGAGACCAGAGAGGGGAAGAGACCAGAGAGGGGAAGAGACCAGAGAGGGGAAGAGACCAGAGAGGGGAAGAGACCAGAGAGGGGAAGAGGACCAGAGAGGGGAAGAGACCAGAGAGGGGAAGAGACCAGAGAGAGGGGAAGAGACCAGAGAGGGGAAGAGACCAGAGAGGGGAAGAGACCAGAGAGGGGAAGAGACCAGAGAGGGGAAGAGACCAGAGAGGGGAAGAGACCAGAGAGGGGGGAAGAGACCAGAGAGGGGAAGAGACCAGAGAGGGGAAGAGACCAGAGAGAGGGGAAGAGACCAGAGAGGGGAAGAGACCAGAGAGGGGAAGAGACCAGAGAGGGGAAGAGACCAGAGAGGGGAAGAGACCAGAGAGGGGAAGAGACCAGAGAGGGGAAGAGACCAGAGAGGGGAAGAGACCAGAGAGGGGAAGAGACCAGAGAGGGGAAGAGACCAGAGAGGGGAAGAGACCAGAGAGGGGAAGAGACCAGAGAGGGGAAGAGACCAGAGAGGGGAAGAGACCAGAGAGGGGAAGAGACCAGAGAGGGGAAGAGACCAGAGAGGGGAAGAGACCAGAGAGGGGAAGAGACCAGAGAGGGGAAGAGACCAGAGAGGGGAAGAGACGAGAGAGAGGGATAGACAGGAGACAGGGATAGACAGGAGAGAGGGATAGACAGGAGAGAGGGACAGACCCGAGAGTGGGACAGACCCGAGAGTGGGACAGACCCGAGAGTGGGACAGACCCGAGAGTGGGACAGACCCGAGAGTGGGACAGACCCGAGAGTGGGACAGACCCGAGAGTGGGACAGACCCGAGAGTGGGACAGACCCGAGAGTGGGACAGACCCGAGAGTGGGACAGACCCGAGAGTGGGACAAAGACGCTGTAAAAAGATAAAAAAAAGGAAACACGAAAATCTGGAAAAGTGCAAAAGGTCAACAGCGGTACATTGAGCGACCACTGTACCATAGCTCAGACTTTTATAAACTTTTTCTGGTATGTGTGTAATCCCCACTTTCTGTCTCCTGTCAGACGTTAGCCGCGCTCCCAGACCAGGACTCATTCTACGATGTGACCGACAGTCTGGAGCAGCTCGGGATGGAGTCGCTTATCCACCATCACCTGAACATCAAGGCCGCAGAGCCTGACCTCAAGGCCCAGTTCACCACATACGAGGTGCGGACTTTCCAGGATCTACACGTACACACTGAGTTTACGGGACACGTGTGGCTGCATTATGGGGATCTGTAAGAACTCGGACAAAATCACATGGACAAAGAAGTACAATCTGTAGACGATAAGAGACGATATACTTTATTGATCTCACGATGGAGGAATTCAGTTTAAGACATGCAGCATACTACGCTCTTCTTTATGACAGTTATTCTGAAAAGCAGAGAGATAGATACTTTATTGATCCCCGTAGGAGAAATTCAGATGTCCAGTAGCAGCAAAAATAAAAATTAAATTGATACACATATAGGAGATATAGAGCAAACACATACAGTTTTATCAAGCCCCTGGTCTCCAAGATGTCTGCCCTGGGTCTCTGTTAGTATTGTTAGTAGGGATGGATTAAGATTCAGTTTCTTTGCCATTTGCAGTAAAACCACATTGGAATACACATTTAAAAGTCCCCACAGTGTGCACCAGACAAGTGCATAATATAAATAATTGTTACCGTGAAAAGAGTGTCGACAAAAACGGGTTCAATGACCAGAGCAAGATCAGAGGGATCGGAGAGGGAGAGAGACCGGAGAGGGAGAGAGACCGGAGAGGGAGAGAGACCGGAGAGGGAGAGTGATCGGAAAGGCAGAGAGACCGGAGAGGGAGAGTGATCGGAAAGGCAGAGAGACCGGAGAGGGAGAGTGATCGGAAAGGCAGAGAGACCGGAGAGGGAGAGTGATCGGAAAGGCAGAGAGACCGGAGGGGGAGAGTGATCGGAAAGGCAGAGTGACCGGAGGGGGAGAGTGACCGGAGGGGGAGAGTGACCGGAGGGGGAGAGTGACCGTAGAGGCAGAGAGACCATAGAGGCAGAGAGACCGTAGAGGGAGCGAGACTGGAAAGGCAGAGAAGCAGAGAGACCAGAGAGAGGGAGAGAGCAGGGGTGGAGAGAGACCAGAGTGAGCACATACAGAGTAAGTCGGACTCTATCGCTGCTTTTTTAATAACATCAATAACCATCACCTTTATACATTCTCTCTTCAGAACGCTTTGAAATACGAAGACGGCGAAATGGACGACCCTCCCCCGTGTTTCCGCAAGGAGAGACGCAAACCCACATCCAGCTCGGACCAGGACACACGCAGGAGCCGACGGGCCTCCCAAAACCTGCCGGACCTCCTCTCCCCCTCCCCCACCTTTGGAATGACGTCTCCCCGACTTCAGAATAACCACTTCACGTCTCCCAGCCCTCAACCCACCGATTCCCCCGTCGGAAATAACAACGTGTTTTCACCTACAGACTCCGCCCCCTCCCCTACTCAAAACACCACCTCCCCCATTGTAAATAACTATGTTCTCTCCCCCACGATATCCTCCCCTTCCCCCACGGAAAACCTCACCTCTCCTGTTTTGATCGACGCTCTCTCCCCTACCGTCTCCTCGCCATCGCCGACGCAGGACGTGACTAGCCCGGACTTCGGCGAGCGGTTGCCGTCTCCGACCTTGTCCTCGACCTCCTCCTCTTCAGGGAGTCCCAGGCAGAGTGGCAGACCGGTCTCGCCCCTGGTCTTGGACTCGGACCCGGCAAGTCCGACCACAACCAGCCCCGCCACGCCGCAGAGAAGGTCCCCAGCCGCGGAGCCGGAGACGAAAGGCCCCCTGAGTCCGTGAGTTTGATGGTGTTAGGTTTGGCTGATGATGTAAGGTCGTTAAAAAGGTTTCAGAAAGAACTATGATGAAAAAAAAATTCTATCAAACTAAGTAACAAGGAGCAGGTTCTAAAAACAGTTTGGTTCTATCTTTAGTCTTTCTCTCTACTCTTTCTCTGGTCTCTGTCTCTCTCTCTCTCTCTCTCTCTCTGACCTCTGTCTGGTTTCTCTCTTTGGTCTCTCTCTGGTTTCTCTGGTCTTTCTCTCTGTCTGGTCTCTCTCTCTCTGCCTGGTCTCTCTTTGGTCTCTCTCTGGTCTCTCGCTCTCTCTGGTTTCTCTGGTCTTTCTCTCTCTCTGCCTGGTCTCTCTCTGGTTTCTCTCTTTGGTCTCTCTCTGGTTTCTCTTTCTGCTCTCTCTCTCTCTGGTCCCTGTTTTCTCTCTCTGGTCGCGCTCTCTCTGGTCGGTCTCTCTCTGGTTTCTCTCTCTGGTCTCTCTCTCCCCATGTTTAGTTCTGACACTGGGTCAGTCCCTGTGCTCCTCAGAGTTGGTTCATATAACTCTAACATGTCACAGATGAATGTAACACACAGAGGTGCTTTAATGTCTGTTCTCTGAGCCACAGGAGCCAGTGCAGAGACCTGAGACCAGGACTAATGTGATGGTACTTCCTGGTTCTAGTTAAGACTCGAGCTGCAGCATCTTGAATTTACTGCAGCAGTTTCACAATAATACATTTGTTCCTGTAATGGTTTGTCCTGGCCTCTGCGTTGCCCTCCTGTGAGCGTTGATGTTCAGACTCAAAGAGAAGAGAAAACATTTTATTTGGACTCCACTTTCCTCTGAGTTCAGTCAGCAGGAATGTGTGTTTTTGTGTAGCCACATTACAGCTGCTTAAACGTTGTGTTGAACACAGTATGAATGAGTGATCCAGAGGGTTTTCTGAGAGGGCATATAAATGGAGTTCAACTTACAGAAATGTGGGATTAATATAATTCTGTCAGATTTAAGTATCAGCCAATGGACAAAAGTTAATTTGCAAAAAGCAGGAAAAAACACTCACACAGGCACAGAGAAACACATAAAACACTTTTACAAATGTGCTGGTGAATGCTTTATTCTATTCTTAAAGCTGGGGAGACTTTCAAAACACAAAAACTAGTTTCTCCTCAAGACAGGTTTTGCTTCTTCTTGACTCTTTGGGCTGAGAAGTGATCGGAGAAAAAAGACATGCATGTGATGGAAGCCATGACATGGTCTCTCTCACTCTCACTGGTCTCTCTCTCTGCTATTAGACCCGAGAGTGAGAGACCCGAGAGTGAGAGACCCGAGAGTGAGAGACCCGAGAGTGAGAGACCCGAGAGTGAGAGACCCGAGAGTGAGAGACCCGAGAGTGAGAGACCCGAGAGTGAGAGACCCTGACAGACCCGGGAGTGAGAGACCCGGGAGTGAGAGACCCGGGAGTGAGAGACCCGGGAGTGAGAGACCCGGGAGTGAGAGACCCGGGAGTGAGAGACCCGGGAGTGAGAGACCCGGGAGTGAGAGACCCGGGAGTGAGAGACCCGGGAGTGAGAGACCCGGGAGTGAGAGACCCGGGAGTGAGAGACCCGGGAGTGAGAGACCCGGGAGTGAGAGACCCGGGAGTGAGAGACCCGGGAGTGAGAGACCCGGGAGTGAGAGACCCGGGAGTGAGAGACCCGGGAGTGAGAGACCCGTGAGTGAGAGACCCGTGAGTGAGAGACCCGTGAGTGAGAGACCCGGGAGTGAGAGACCCGGGAGTGAGAGACCCGTGAGTGAGAGACCCGTGAGTGAGAGACCCGTGAGTGAGAGACCCGGGAGTGAGAGAGAGACCATGTCATGGCTCTAAAAAGGTTTTACTTCCATCTCATGTCTTTTTCCGCCGATCAGTTCTCATCCCCAAGCATCAAATAGTGACTCAAGTTGCGTACCCCAGCTTTAAACCTCCTTCTCTGTGATTGGTTGGTGTTGGTGTCTGTCTCACTCTGGGCTCCTCCTCTGTCTCTGTCCTTGTGGTGTCCTTCCACCAGGGGGCGCTCCTTCCTCAGCCACCACATGTCGGCGCTGGGTCTGGGCAGGAAGTCCCGCCTCTTCTCCAAAAGCAGCTCCATCTCCGAGGAGACGGCTGCCGCGCACAGGTCTGTCGTCGGGGTTTGCATGCTCTCCTCGTGTCTGCGTGGCTCTCCTCTGGGCTCTGCTTTGTACTGTTCACATTTCGTCACCTTTACGACCACAAAACTATTTTTGATTTTTTTTATTGAAAGACCATGACAGGGTAACGCACAACTGTGGAATAATAGTAATAATAATAATAATGTACGGGTTTTATACATTACTTTTTTTGACACTGCTTTGCATTTGCCTGGCCTGCCAGACACTCCTCCTTTCTGTTCAAAAGAAGAACCGTCTGGACACCTCTTCCTAGCCTATCATTTCACGATTTTACCCACATCGGTCCAATCACGCACCGAGAGGCGGGACTTCCTTTCACCTTTGAGTTGCTAATAACTCCTCGTATCTTTAAGTTTTTGTTACAAAATCGACAGCAGTCGTTTACATTTGCACTAGCTGACATGCCGCCATCCCTTGTTTTGTGTTTACTGAAACGGCTTGGGTGCCGCTAGTTGCTGCGTCATATCCTGTGTGCATCTAATTGGTTGATGCAGTCTGTCAACCACGCCCACCGGGAATTCGCTGAGATCAAGCTCGTTCCCAGACTATATGTCTTTGAAAAAGCATATCGTTTGGCAGGCCAGGCAAGCTTTGCATCAGAGGTCTGAAGGGTTCCGCCTTTGACCTGCAGAGGGCGACACCTATTATGTTCAGATAATACTAATTCAGTACAAATTAGTGTCATTCACTGTGGTCAAACTTACCAAAAAAATGACATCATTTTAGCTATTTCCGTTTTAGGACCTTTTTACATGAACCTGGAATTGGTGAGAGAGTTTACCATGACATTTGTTAAAGACTGGGTTATTTGAGGAGTAAGTATGAGAAATATTGTGTTGTCACCTTTGATGAATTTCTTAAAACCGGAATTACATCTGACTCTGTGACCGGGACAGGAGTGTGTGTGTGTGTGTGTGTCACTGTCTCTTTGTGTGTGTGTCTAACTTTTTATTTTGTACACGTTCTCGTCCTCTAGTCCGTCGTCCCCTGAGCCGTCGGAGCAGCAGCCTCCGCAAGAGCAGAGCAAACCCGAGAGCAAAACCAGCTTCAAGTAAGTGCAAAGCGGCCATTTTGGCTATTTTGACTATGACAATAAAGCTGGGTACCTTTCAAATCACAAAATTGAACAAACTAGTTCCTGGTTCTAAAACAGTGTTCTTCTATCACAAGTTTTCACATTCATTTATTTTTGGCCCCTGTCTCATTATTAGATGAGCTTTTTCAGACACGAAAAGGGAAAAAGAGACCAGAGAGAGAGAGATCTGAGAGAGAGAGAACAGAGAGAGAGATCTGAGAGAGACCAAAGAGACCAGAGAGAGGGAGACCAGAGAGAGGGAGACCAGAGAGAGGGAGACCAGAGAGAGGGAGACCAGAGAGAGGGAGACCAGAGAGAGGGAGACCAGAGAGAGGGAGACCAGAGAGAGGGAGACCAGAGAGAGGGAGACCAGAGAGAGGGAGACCAGAGAGAGGGAGACCAGAGAGAGGGAGACCAGAGAGAGGGAGGCCAGAGAGAGGGAGACCAGAGAGAGGGAGACCAGAGAGAGGGAGACCAGAGAGAGGGAGACCAGAGAGAGGGAGAGATCAGAGCGAGAGAGACCAGAGCGAGAGACAGAGAGAGCGACCAGATGACATGTATTTGTATAGGAAAGAATAAAATTATGTCAGAATCAGAATCATTTTTATTGCCACGTAAGTAACAAAGTTACCACTTGGAAATTGTTTTGGCAGATAGCATGCCACTTCGCCATTTGCGGCGCTGTGTGCCTCAGCTTTAAAAAAAAAAATACCGGTTCAATATTGTATACAGTATATATGGTTCTTTAAGATTTCCATGAGTTTAAAATGGTTTGCCGTAGTGGGTTTCCAGAGAGGCCTGAAGGACCAATAGAGTATAAACTCTGAGATGTTTTGCCGTCTGTAAATGTCTTTTTCATTGACTTTATACTTGAGTGTACTCTCTCCTTTCTCTGCTGATAACTGCTCTCACTCCTCTTTTCTCTGGTCACTCTGCCGTGCTCCTCTCCAGCTCTGGGGAGGACGAGCCCGAGTTCTGGTGAGTACATCCTCCGCTCCTCTGTCCTCAACCTTCACTCATGCTTCCATCCAGTCGCTATTCAACACTCCAACTCCCACAGCAGTCATTGTTACCAGCATTTAGCCATTTAACAAACTGTATTTCAAGTTATATTTAAGTGAGTTTTAAGTCAAAGTGAGTAAACATATAAAACGTTAGAATGACTGCTTTGGGAGTTCTAGTATTTTCATAATTCTGGAAATCCAAATTAGTATCTTAACCTTACAGAAAATGGCATATTCAAGGTGTCTGCAGGGTCTTAAAGGCAAAACTGAAATCAACACAAAATCATGAAAAGCTGTGTTTTGTTTAGGCCTTTCTGCACAATAGGTTATGTTCATGAGGCATCACAACATTCCAAAGAGCGTTTAGTTTAACATTATGGTGGACGGAAACTGAAAAATCTGATTCTAGTCTTAGTTCAGAGATAATTTCAATCCACATGAAACAAAAACTGTCCCAAAGTCCCACATCTTCTTTGTCAGCACATCAACTATGGTCTGCATCTGGTCTCTCTCTGGTCTCTTTCTCTCTGTTCTCTTTCTCTGATATTTTTCCGGTCTCTCTCTCTGGCCCCCTTTCTCTCCAGTCTCTCTTTGGTCTCTCTCTGGTCTCTCTCCGGTCCTTTTCTTGTCTCTCTGATCTCTCCAATCTCTCTTTGGTCTCTCTCTGGTCTCTCTCCGGTCCTTTTCTTGTCTCTCTGATCTCTCCAATCTCTCTCTGGTCTCGCTCTGGTCTCTCTCCGGTCCTTTTCTTGTCTCTCTGATCTCTCCAATCTCTCTCTGGTCTCTCTCTGGTCTCGCTCTGGTCTCTCTCCGGTCCTTTTCTTGTCTCTCTGATCTCTCCAATCTCTCTCTGGTCTCTCTCTGGTCTCGCTCTGGTCTCGCTCTGGTCTCTCTCCGGTCCTTTTCTTGTCTCTCTGATCTCTCCAATCTCTCTTTGGTCTCTCTCTCTGGTCTCTCTCCGGTCCCTCGCCGTTCTCTCTCCGGTCCCTTTCTTGTCTCTCTGATCTCTCCAATCTCTCTCTGGTCTCTCTCTGGTCTCTCTCCATGATGTTGTCCAGTACATAAGAATATAATGTCAGTTTTGTGGATCAATCACTATCAAATAATGATCTGAGAAAACCGGCCATTTTCAAAGGGTCTTACAATAATGGCTTCTTGGTTGCATGGCCTCCTGCTGAAAAACAAGTCTAGAACATGAACGCAACCTATTGTAAAGTGGGAATGATTACAACAATATGGAGGGTCGCAAAATCAAAATAATGTAATGCTTTTTATGTCTCTGGGACTGGGGATGAGAAGCTTAAGAATCTCTTACTATCTCTGGTCAATCTTATCTTGTGACAGGACATTCTCACTGATGAAGTTAATTAAGTCATTTTTGAGCAGGTTTTTGCAGATGGTGGTGGTTCCTACTTTGAGTTTTTCATTTTGAGTTGTTGATATGTCCTTTCAGCCCTGAGGAAGTCAATGTAAATCAGGACAAACCCATTTTCAAGATGTTCGAGTAAGTAAGGCTGGCCCTGGCCTGATGCATGCTGGGTTGGTGGAGTGGTGGAGGACTTCGGCTTTGTGCTGCGGATTCTGCTGTGATTGGTTTTGATAAACGTGAAACATGGGAGGAGCAACCAAGCCCCGGCCATTCAAATGAATGGTTGTGCTCAGTGGGCTTTGTGACGGCATGGGGGCTAAAAGATTAGCGGAAGTTGCCTGAAACTCGCAAAGATCTATGGGAAACTCGCCTGTATTTGGGCATCGTCTGGTCCTCCCGGTTCTGCGCAGTGGATGATCTCCCATAATGCGTTGCTCCAAACACGCGTGTGTGGGTCTCACACCAGGTCTCACGCACGTGCACAGAGGGGCTCGGCTGCGCTCTGACCAATCAGAGCAGTTCATCAGAGCGGGGGTTAGAGCGAGAGCCAGACGAGCAGAGTTTGTGGCACTAAAGTGTGGATTTAAGAAGAAAAAAAGTTCAGGATGACAAGGGACACTAAAATCCCCACAAAATCCGACCTTTATGAAAGCTGTAGGTTCTCTGTCAGCTGAGGTTGAGCTGTTTTAATATGCATTGAGTTCTATGGGGAAAATTTCTGGGTAGCTCACATGAATTCAGTCTGGTTCAGTCTGCAGTACCGTGAGAATCCCTCGAGCACATGAGTTATTCAGCTACAAGCTAGTAATACCCTATCCAGTTAATATAATAGATCCATGGGAGCAACGCTAACGTCCTGTAGTTGTGGTATATTAATAAAGACTGACTAATGATTATATTTCCAAAGTCGGCTGTAGTGCCTCCTCTAAAGTCAAATTTTGTCGTAAATATTTGAGTTTATGTCGGTGTGCATGAGTGTGACAGATCTGATGCAGTGTGTGTGTAGTTCTGTGGGTGACCATCAGGGGGAGCTGCTTACACCAAATGTTTTTCTCGTTTGAAACTTTGGATTTGATTTTAGGGTTGGGTTTTTTGCTGTGGTGAATTTAAATTTGGTGTTGGGTCTAATCTCTGAGTGAATTTTTCTGCTTGTCTCATGTTCAGAATTAAATATCCCTTTAATAAATTCTATACTTTTTGCAGAGATAACTTTCTGCGTAACCTGGCAGCGACTCAGTGGGAGAAGAGGAGGCGGAGTAAACAACGGCCTCGTGCGGCTTCGACTGATGACGTCATCACCGCGATCCCACAGAAGAGAGAGGAGCCGAGCGGTGTCCAAACAGAGGAGCACGCACAGAGTAAATGAACCACACTCACTGACCGCCATCTTTGATATATTTTCAATTCAAATTAATATATTTGTGTACAGCAACAGATCAGAGAATCAAACCGCTCGAACACAGGAAATGCAAAAACAAAAAAAACACAAGCCATTGGTCCATAGGAAGTGGGATGACCATTGTCCAGAAATGTTGATAAATGTTCCGGACTGAGGCTGTAGATCCAGGACTGAGGCTGTAGATCCAAGACTGGGGCTGTAGATCCAGGACTGAGGCTGTAGCTCCAGGACTGAGGCTGTAGCTCCAGGACTGAGGCTGTAGATCCAGGACTGAGGCTGTAGATCCAGGACTGAGGCTGTAGATCCAGATCTGAGGCTGTAGATCCAGGACTGAGGCTGTAGATCCAGGACTGAGGCTGTAGATCCAGGACTGAGGCTGTAGATCCAGGACTGAGGCTGTAGATCCAGGACTGAGGCTGTAGATCCAGGACTGAGGCTGTAGCTCCAGGACTGAGGCTGTAGATCCAGGACTGAGGCTGTAGATCCAGGACTGAGGCTGTAGATCCAGGACTGAGGCTGTCAATCCAGGACTGAGGCTCTAGCTCCAGGACTGAGGCTGTAGATCCAGGACTGAGGCTGTAGATCCAGGTCTCAGGCTTTATATCCAGGCTGTCTAGGTGTAGGTAAGAGAGGCCGGATTTTTGGCGTCCCATCATCACGCTATTAAAGAGACAATGGGACAGCGGATGAATAGCAATAAACAGACTACAGCTGAAGTCATAATGATAACAGATAACGTGGGAGAGAGGAGAGGACGTTAGAGCTGTTATCTTCTCCAGCAACGGTCTCCTTTTGTCTCCATGTCATTTGAACTGATTTGCTTCTGATGTTTCCTCCACCAACAAGAGCAACATATGAAACAAGATTGGGAATAATTTATATGTTTAATGTTGCGGTCGCAGGTCCCCCCAGAAGCGCGGGAACCAACGGACACGACTCCCACAATGAGACCGGTGAGTTTTTTGATCCACTGTAGAAGAAAAACATGTGAATCCGTTTCTGCTGTGGCTCTGGACGTCACTGTGGTGTGGTGTGTGGTTTGTTTACGCAGCTCCGATCCAGCGAGAGTTCAGTACTCTCTCTGAGGATAAGAAGTTTGTGCTGGACATGCTCTACTCCAAGTCCAGCTCGGGTCCCTCTGAGCCGGGGCCTGAGGAGGTTCCACCACAGCCAGAGAGAGGTGCGCGTGTCTCTCTCTCTCTTTCTCTGTGTTTCTATATGATTTCCTTAGTATTTTTTTGTGGTAAAGAAGAAATATGATTAAGGATGCACCAATACCACTTTTTTATAAACCTTAATTTCAGTACTTGCATATACCGAATACCGATACAAGAACTGCATTGTGTTATGTCTGGGATTTCATCAAACTAACATAACTGAAATTTTAAAATGCTTTATTTGTCATTTCAACAATAAGAAAATGTTTTAACAATTAAACATTTTAGCAATTGTTTTAAGTCAACCATGAGAGCCACTGTCATATTCCACTCGTACAAATGGAAATTGACACAGGAGTGTGGTGGTGAGTTTTCAGATGTTTGATCAAGTTGCTGGTGTTATACGTGTTTGTTTTGCCTTACACAACGTACAGTCCGCTTTACTCTTGTCACTCTCGTATACTTTTAAACACTGCCATACGGCTGACATCCCGTCGTGGCGCTAATATCAATTACAAATGTGGGTACAGGTTGTCTGCATCAGGTTTTATGATATGAGTACGAGTACAAGCCTATGATATCGACCTGATACCAGTAGCAGTATTAAACCTGCAGTTGAGACTACCTTATTTTAGAACACAAGTATTGGGCCATTTTACAAAAAGCAGGTCCAGCGCAGTTTAATGAAGCTTCCTATACTTAATTCTTACTTATTTTGTATTTTGTCTGTGTGTGTTTCATTTTCTCACGATGGAATGAATAAAGGATCTCTTCATCTCAAGGCAGAAAGAGCTATTCACATTTTTAAAAATGGCTGAATTGTTTTGTGATGTTCAGTTGTTTTGTTTAGAGAATAGACTTGTCAGTGCCATATGACCCGACTCTGACCCTGAGGAGCCTCTGCTGATGGTCTGGTCTGCTGGTTCTGTGCAGTGCGCCGGCCTGTGGTGATGGTGGTCTCCGGGGGCGACTCGGGCAGCGTGGGCCGTGTGTTGGAACGTCTCTCCAGCATCAGGCGCTCGGTGGACGGTCCCAGTGAGAGCAGCGCCTCCCGCAGGGCCGAGCTGGAAGAACTGGGTGGCTCTGCTCAGGCTGCACTGGCCCGACTGGCAGAGGAGCAACAGGTGAGTCCCAGAACACACACATTCAAGACTTTACAAACCTTTTATGTTGGGGCAGCTCATTCATTTGTTTGTTTGTTTGTACAATAGTAAATTCTGCTCACAAGGATTGGGCTGAATCAAAATGCTTACAAGCTCCCCCCACTCACAAACTCAAATACACTCAAACTTTTCATATCACGAGAAAAATAATACAGAACAAAATGATACCAAAGCACACAAAGGCACAACCACGACTACAGTCTTGGTCAAGTCTTATCTCCACAAAGCAAGTAACAAAAGGTGACTGTATAATTATTTTAGATGTACTGATGATTACTAGCTTGTTACGCTATCGCTGTAGAAGAGAAAAATACCGGAGTAACGGAGGGATAATTTCACTTCTTCAGGACCGGGGTAGGAGTTTAGAGGGGGGAGAGGACAAGAGTTTTGACAGTGAGAGAGGAGAGGAGTGAGAGTCTACTTCAACTCAATTCAATGTATTGTTGTATAGACCTAAATCACAACTGTAGTTATCTCAGCAAAGTTGTTGATTTGCAAAGTTGTTGATTTGCCAACACATGTCAAGAGAATCAAACAGTACAAACACAGGAAAAGCAACAATAAAAAAACACATAGAGCCATTGGTCCATAAGGGGCAGATGACCAATGATCATAAATGTTGATAAATGTCCCGGATCTCTCTCCCTAGACTCTCCTGCGTCGACAAGGAACCACTTGAAAACCCAGAAGGGAAAAGTGATATCTCCGGGTCTCAGTTTTCAATATTCTCTTGTTTGTGTCCACAGAGCCGCAGTCTCCGGCCTCAGTCCAGTGTGGACATGGAGAACCAGGCCAAGCGTCTGGACGGGGGTCAGACCTCTGCTCTGGGCCCAGGAGGAGGCTCCGAGGCCTGGGACCAGCTCCAGCTCTCAGCCGCCTCGCTCCGCATCAAAGACCTGGACTTCTCTGGTCTGTTTCCATTTGCTGTCTGTACTAAGTATATTTACCATGAGACTATTTAACATGTGGTTTTAGGTGACGCTGTTGCTCTTTGTAATCAGAGGTTGAGATGTTCGTTATTGAAGGATCTGCCTTCCTCCTTGGTCAATATGTTGCCATGGCACAATGAGGCTAATGTTCTCTGTAAAAAAACACAAAACAGATTATTAACATATATTTATAAACGTATGTAAGGAATGGACTGACAGTGTGACATCACCTTATTGTTAGACTTATGTGGGAAAAGGCGGTTTGACATAAGCTAGCTGGAGCCAATTTCCTTATATGGGCATGTGTTCTGACAGTGTTAGCTTTGCTCCGTTCCAAGGACAAATGTGTGTCCTTGTAATGGATGGTCCTTGTACGGATTGGTCAATCCTTAGATGGTTCGTATCACAATATAAACACTAGGATCACAGAGAGCACTAAACCACAGATTGGTTAAACAAGCTGAATGTGACACAAACGGTTACTCATGAGCATTGTCCATCTGTATACAGGCTCTGATCCCAAAACACCGTTGGTCAAATTTAGTAAAAAAGATACAAAAATAAACATATACCTCTGAGGAGCACAGGGACTGGCCTCCTGCTGGTCCCAGAGTCAGGACAGATGATGAGGCAGAGTTTCTTATGCAGCTAAAATATGGAACAGTCCTCCTAAAAATGTGAGACTTCTACTCCAAGTTAAAAACAGTTCTGTTTCGCTGCAGCAACTAAAGGATCTCCACTCACTGTGTGATTACTAGTCTAGTCGAGCTACATGTTCACGATTTTTCTCGTGGTGGTTTTTTTACAGTTAAAATAAAGTAAAATAAAATATACACTGCTGTGGATGTTATTTACTTCATAAATGTGTTTACTGTGTTAATGGACTGAGGGTGGAGTAGGATTTGGTTTTCAGTTTCAGATTTGGCAGAATCTTAATCACTGGATTCGCCCAAACCTCAAAAAATCTGGATTTGGTGCATCCCTAGCTTTTAATGTGTGGCCCGCTTCACCGCGGCTGTTTCCGCTGTTCTTTTCCGAAGGAAATAGAAAAAGAAAAGTTATGTGGCCGACAGTTATGTAGTCTGTTGTGTAGTACAACCGACTACATAACCAGAATGGACCATTTGATTTCGTAAAACCTCTCTCCAAACGTCTAAAACTAGCTAACTCTCTAGTATCCAGGTAGATTTCTATGCTGTTATGCCACCCGGTCACGTGACCGGCAATCAAACAATCATACATTCTAGGATATTGTGCCTCCTCAGATCTGCTCGACGAAGAAGACGTGGATGTTTTGGATATGGACACTTTGGATTCAACGTCAGCCTCTCGTTTGTCTGGTGTCCCTCCCCCTCCTCCTCCTCCTCCGGCCTCAGGTTCCTCTTCACAACCACCTCCTCCACCTCCTCCACCTCCTCCCCCTCCTCCTCCAGGTAGACTCTGAATTTGCCAAAAAAAACTTTCTTCCCTTTAAGCTAGTATAGTTAAATGTAAATTTTACTGAATTTTATTTAATGTATTGGTAATCTACTTACAAAACATGTTCTCTTTTGCATATACAGTACAGTTGAGTGCTGATTGGCCGAGTGAGACTGGTCCTCTCCTATCCACTTTTCTGTCTGAAAATTACCTTGCAAAAATACATGCTCGGCTCTACTTGGCTCTGCTCTACTCTGATCTACTCTACTCTACTGTATTTTACTCTGCTCTTTTCTACTCTACTCTACTATAGTCTGCATTACTCTACTCCACTCACTGGACCTGTTAAACCCGTACCAGGTCCTTCTTTAGTCTCTCTTGGCCCTGGCTCTATCCAGGCCGAGCTGGTCCTAAAGTGTTCTGAGCCGTATGTAAACACATCAGTTGGATAATACTGAGACATTGGGCAGTGATGCATTTAAGAGCACAGGGAAAAAACAAATTACGTAAACATCCTGTTTTGTGGTCACATTTGCCGACCTTTTGTTTATAATGTCTAATGTGTGATAGCAAATCTATTAATAATTACAGTTACACAGCTTGAGTAATAATCATCCTCAGGCCTCTCTTCTTCGCGGAGCACAGATGGGACCTCTTCAGACCGGTTTGATAATCTACCGACTAGAGCGCTGGTTTTGAGAGTACTCTTGTTTTCTCATGCTTTGTGAACGCACTCGTTATCTCAATATTATACAGCTCAATCACATTTGTTTTTGCGTTGTCGATTTATTGACACATGTCAGAGAATCAAAGTTAAACACAGGAAATGCAACGATAACTGCAGATGACCGATGTCCATAAATATATCCTGTCCCATATGTTCTTCCAGGTTTTGTACTTGCCCCCCCTCCTCCTCCGCCTCCTCCTCCGCCTCCTCCAGGAGCTCCCCCGGTCGCCCCTCCCCTCCCTCCACCTCCGTTCGGCGCCACATCAGGCGATGTGCCCAAGAAGAAGAAGAAGACGGTGAAGCTGTTCTGGCGAGAGCTGAAGCAGGCGGATGGCGGGCCGCAGAAGTGCCGCTTCGGTCGTGGAACAGTCTGGGCCTCCCTGGACAAGGTTACCGTGGATACCGCCAAACTGGAGCACCTTTTCGAGTCCAAGGCCAAAGAGCTGCCCATGACCAAGGTACAAGCATAGACTGTGTTTAGATGGAAAATGTTTGGCTCGAACTCGCTCTGGCTCCTTTTGACTTTCATTTATTTAGTTATTTTTTTATTTGGATCCCCGTTTGCCTCCACAAGTGGTTGCTAGTCTTCCTGTGGTTAACCCCACATAGGATCAATTCACATTACAAAATGTCAATGTAAAAGTAAACTTCTCTCCTGTAACTGGTTAGTGTCACCTCCACCATTTTGGGCTTAAAAATCTGTGGTTCAGTGCTCTCTGTGATCCTGGTGTTTATATAGTGATATTGTCTTTGTAAATCCAGATATGAGGCCTGTAAGGATTGACCAATCAGATGCCCTCATTCGCAATGGAATTTCGAGCTTGTCGTAGAAACCGTCTTAGAAACAGGTCTGCCCCATTTATCGCGCAAAGCTAATGCCCCGGAACATATACCCATTCTCTTTAGCTGACTTATTTTCAAATCGGCTTCCTCCGCGTTAAGGCTAACACTATGGTGATGTCACACTCAGTCAGTCCGCTCCTCATATACTGTCATTCAACGGTATACTATGAGCGGTTACGTTGAGTGTGACATTACCATAGTAGTTACTGAGCTTACGTAAGTCAATAGGAGCCAGAGCGAGTTGGAGCAAAACTTTGTCCATGAGCACTTCCCTATCAGGCTTCATTGAGCTAGCGGGTTAGCGTTGTCCCTTGGTATACAGTCTACGTTATGACATCCTTAAGTACCACTTCTGAATGTGTAAAATGACAAGGCGAAACCGCTGTGACATGTTTGAGAAGCTGTGGATTGGATCGTGGTTGTGACGTCCTTGTGTGAGTCCAGAAGGGACCGGAGCTGAAGAAGGCAGAGATCCTGGTGCTCGACTCGAAGAGGAGCAACGCCATAAACATCGGCATGACGGTGCTGCCGGCCACGCACATCATCAAGACCGCCATCCTCAACTTTGACGAGTTCGCCATCTCCAAAGAAGGCATCGAGGTACAGTGTGTCTGAGCGGGTTTCTCACTGCTCTGTTCACCTGCAGCTGGGCACAGAATGCAAAGACATTGATGAGTTTTTGGTGATGGGTGTGTAATAGTTGGTATTCATGTGACATCACAACGTTCCAAAGGGTCTCTTGTTTTACATTGTAGTGGAAACTGAAATATCATTCCTGGTAAATGCCAAAGGTTGGACTAAGTTGGATTTAGAGAGTTAATTTCTCTGTAATCCCTAGAACAATCCATATGAAACAAAAAATCCACATATTCATCTGCACATATCAACTCTCTGCTCACTCTCTGGTTTCTCTCTGGTCTCTGCTCACTCTCTGGTTTCTCTCTGGTCTCTGCTCACTTTCTGGTCCCTCTCTATGATCTCTGGTCTCTCTGACCTATCTCTGGTCTCTTTCTGGCCTTCGTCTGATCTCTCTCTCTCTGAGGGAGGTCTCTCTCTGGCCTCCCTCTGATCTCTCTCTCTCTGGTCTCCGGTCTCTCTCTGGTCTCTCTCTCGATCTCTCTCTCGATCTCTCTCTCGATCTCTCTCTCGATTTCTCTATCTCTTTCTCGATCTCTCTCTCGATCTTTCGATCTCCCTCTCTCTGGCCTCTGTGATCTCGCTGCTCTTTTTCTGGTCTCCCTCTGGTCTCTCTGGACTGTCCTGTATAAATCCTGGTGTAGTGTGTTCAGTTATAATGAGCTGTTTTTGACTTCTGACCGCTCTGTGTCCTGAGCAGAAGATCCTGACCATGGTCCCCACGGATGAGGAGAAGCAGATGATCCAGGAGGCGCAGCTGGCGTCTCCGGAGGTCCCTCTGGGCACCGCCGAACAGTTCCTCCTCAGCCTGGCCTCCATCAGCGCCCTGACCTCCCGCCTGCAGCTCTGGGCCTTCAAACTCAACTACGAGGCTCTGGAGAAGGTACATCCCGGTCTGTGGTGTGGGAGCACCAGAGAGAGAGGAGAGAGACCAGAAAGGAGGGGAGAGGGAGACCGGAGAGAGAGGGAGACCGGAGAGAGAGGGAGACCGGAGAGAGAAAGAGACCATTGAGAGGAAGACCACCGACCAGAGAAGGGGAGAGAGACCAGAGGAAGAGACCTTTTAAAAAGGGTTAGAAGAAGCAGACTCTTGTTAGTTCTGACACCTCTCACTCATAAACACACACACACACACACACTCCCACAAACACACCACACACACACACACCGTTTACTTTGAATTCATACTTATTGCGTTTAGGGTTCAGTGTGTATGATCATATAAACGTTGATGTCCACTAGGGGGCCATAGAATCCCTCTTTGCAGTCTGCACGTCAGGGCCCCCTGGTTCAGATCCTCACCTTGTGGTCTGTGATGTTTGCAGGAGATAGCGGAGCCTCTGTTTGACCTGAAGCTCGGAATGGAGCAGCTCTCCTCCAACCAGACGTTCAAAAGGATCCTGGCCACGCTCCTCGCCATCGGGAACTTCCTCAACAGCTCCAACGTGAGAAAAAAAAAAAAAAGTTTCACGAATCATCATGACTATTAAAGGGTTTTTTTGCTCAGACAAGCCCTTCTAATACAAATTATCCTTGTCTATAAGTGTTTCACATCTACACTTATCAAGTAAGTACGGATAAGATTCAGAACAAATACAAATACAGCAGATAAGATACGCCTTTATCATCTTGAACCGAAGGAATATGTCTTGGGGAAAAAAAACACAAGTAAGAGCACCATCAGAGACTTCTGGGATCATAGAGAAACTGTTGGACATCAAGACCACAATCATTCCCCACTTGCACTAAAGAAAAATATTGGAAGAAAAGGCCTTAAGCTCAGTGACTTACTGTTACTGATTATAATCGCCTTATTTCCATTTTTGATTTTCCTATCAAATGAGTCCAGCAGAGGGCAGTAGAGAACTGATGAGGCAAGTCTGTGATGTCCATTCTGTCAAGACATATCAGTTTGTTTGCTAAAACACATACGTCTTTAAAATGTCTCAATAACTTGTAGATCCAAGACTGAGGCTGTATATCTATGACTTTTTCATGTTTTAGCTGTATTATTTTGTTTAAGAAAATGATTTAAATGTTATTATAGTTTTTGTAGAATAGTAGAATCAAGTTACAGCCCTTGAAATAATAAACATCTGCTCGTCCCTTTAATCTAGATATACCAGTTTTTGCTGGGAATAAGGTCTTTAAAAGAACAGAATAAATCCATAATTGTCTAAACACAGGTGAGGATAAAGCCACAGAGACTTCCTGTGTTTTGACTCGCCACATGCCCCTGATGTCACCGATCATGGTAATCCCCGTCCGTTCCATAATCCGCTCTAATCCGTGTGTGTTTCAGGCCAAAGGCTTCGAGCTCAGTTACCTGGAGAAGGTGGTGGAGGTGAAGGACACGGTGCAGCGTCAGTCCCTGCTCCATCACATCTGTAACCTGGTCCTGGAGAAGTTCCCCGAGTCCACAGACCTGTACTCGGAGATCCCAGCCATCACCCGATCTGCCAAAGTGAATTTACAAACTCACATCACCACATTAAAGACATGACCTGCTTTTTGATGGTGACATATGGTCATCTATACCAGCGGTTCCAAACCTGTTTATTCCTATGTACCCTGGTACCAGTACCCCTGTTTTTGAAGGGTTGCTCTCTGGTGTCTCTCTCTGGTCTCTTTATCTAGTCTCTCTCTCTGGTCTCTCTGGTGTCTCTCTAGTCTCTCTCTGGTCTCCCTCTATGGTCTCTTTCTTTTGTCTCTCTCTGGCCTCTCTCTCTAGTGTCTCTCTGGTCTCTGCACCAAAGAGATTTATTCAGAACTCTCCTGCATTCTTCCTGAAGCCCTCAGTCTTAGTCCGGAACGTCGTTAACATTAGCAGATTGACATATTCTGACCAGCTCTGGTTCTCCTGGTCTTGTACGGTGTTACTACTTCGGCAGGACCATGTGACATGTGAGCATTCTAACCAATCAGAGCGCAAAGTGGATTTATAGAAAACCAATGGATGTCAACATTTTTAAAGTTCAGGATTACAAGGGACACTAAAATCCTCACAACATCCTCCTTTTCCTCTTCTGTGAAATCTGTGGGTTCCCTGTCAGTGTTTACTAGAACCACTCGTCCTCAGCTGAGTTCGATGGAGAAATTTCAGAAGCCCAGCTTAGGTAGCAACGACAAGCGAAAACGTTTGAGAGCCTCTGATGTAGAGAATATCTGTTGTAAAACTTCCTGTGTTTGTAGGTGGACTTCGAGCTGCTCTCTGAGAACCTGCTGCAGCTGGAGAGGCGCTGCAAGACGTCCTGGGACCACCTGAAGCTGGTGGCCAAACACGAGACCAAACTGTCTCTGAAGAACAAGCTGACGGAGTTCCTGAAGGACTGCACCCAGCGGATCATCATCCTGAAGGTCAGAGATACACTGTCTAAAGCAGACCTAGAGATTATTGTCCACGCCATTGTCTCCAGTACGTCAGACTAGAGCCCTGCACGGGCCTATTATCTGGGCCCGAGCCCGGCCCTGGCCCGAGGGGGTGGCGCCCCAGCCCGGCCCGGCCCGATATGGTTTCTGAATTTTCAGGCCCGAAACCCGCATCAAGCCCGCCTTTTTTTTTTTTTTTGTAACCTCCCATAACAATGTTTTAGCGTAGTATATAGTGCCGCGCACTGATATGAACGCAGACTTAGCTAGAGGGCGGAGTTATACATGGTAGTGATGTGTTGCAATGAGTTTTGTGTGTGCGGAGTGGGGCAGAGTGAACGGCCGCATCTGTATGATGCCCCCGATGCTGCAATACATCTGCACATTACATAAGTAATGCTATGTGCCGTCAATGACAACACTACACAGAACAACAAACACTACAGCGTGATAGAACGCTATATTCAGTGGGTGCGTTCGTAAATGTATTCTGCCGCCCTGAAAATGAAGAGCCCGAGCCCGGCCCGTGTCCGAGGTCATTATGCGGTCATCGGCCCGAAGCCCGGCCCTCGGGCTGTCGGGCCGTCGGGGCCCTCGGGCCAAGGGCTCAAGTGCAGGGCTCTACGTCAGACTACTGTAACATCTGCTAACTGGTCTCTCCAAACGAGTTCTAAAACAGCTGCAGTATATTCAAAATGCTGCTGGAAGCATTGGGAGATTTCAGATTTATGCTGCTAGAATTTAGGACAGTCTTCCTGAAAATGTGAGAAAGGCTTCTTCTCTGTCAATGTTCAAATGCAGATTAAGAACCGTTTTGTTCTTTACTGAAGGATTGTGTTTTTACTTTTTTTAATGTACTGTGATTTTTCATGATTTGAATGCCTTTTGTGATTGCTTCTTGTTTTGTTAAGCACTTTGAGTTTTCTTGTGTATAAACTGTGCTTTTCATATAAACCTGCCTTGCCCTGGCCTCCCCTAAAGGTGGTGCACCGGCGCGTCATCAACCGCTTCCACTCCTTCCTGTTGTTCCTGGGGCAGCCGACCTCCTCCGTGCGCAGCGTCAAAGTCACCAACTTCTGCCGCATCCTGAGCGAGTTCTCCCTGGAGTACCGCACCTCCAGGGACCGCGCCCTGACGCTGAGGCGCAAGAAGGCCGCGCACCGCGAGAGGACCAAGACGCGAGGCAAGATGATCACCGAGGTAACGGTGTTTTCCTCATTCACTATTTGTTTAAAAACTGGGAGAGAAGTTCAACAAAACAGTCAATCTGTCCTTGAGTCCTTTACATAAAGCGCATCTTTGGAGTGGGTCGAGTGTGGCATCACAGTGTTAGCCTTAAAGTAGCAATATGTAAGATTTTCATGTCAAGTAATTAAATGGCCCTAATATGTCAAAAGTAATTAATAAATCATGCTTTTTTTGAATACTTCTTTACCTAATAACAGTAGTTTAGCTGAGATGATTGGATTTCAAAATTACTTTTACAGCCCTTAAATCTTGTTTTTGTTTTCATTTCGATGTCCTGCCCTCCACCGTTTTACCAATCAGAAAGTCTTTGATCTGGGTTGCCAGAACTGACAGTGTCAAGCTAATCTCATTGGTAAAGTAGCATGTGGCCACAAAACTAAAAAAGGTCTCTTTATGATTCTCAAATCATTAAGGACAAAACAAGGTCCATGATTTCTTTCTTTGTCAAAAAGGTGTTGGTGGTGTTGACAAATATCCTATCTATTCAGTTATTATGGTCCCAGCTAGATTTGTATGTATATCTGGCACCCTGAGTACCACTTTTGGCCAGATTTTTACATATTGCTCCTTTAATGCGGAAGAGGCCGATTTGAACATTAGTTAGATGGAGCCAATTTGCTTTAAGGAACACTTCTGCCTCTGTTATGGTTCTATTCTAAGACGGGTGCTAAGGCAAGCTGGAGTTTGAAGGCATCTGATTGGTCAATCCTTATGAACCTCATATTTGAATTTTCAAAGACAGTCACCATATATAAAACCCAGGATCACAGAGAGCACTGAACCACAGATTTATGCCCAAACGGTTACTGAGCTAGAGGAGTTTGCTTTGACATGTAATTCAATAGGAGCTGGAGCAAAACTTTGTCCATGAGCACTTCCCTATTGGGCTTCCTTGAACTAGCAATTCAGTATTGTAAATCTAAACTGCTTCTTTAAACAGTCTATGGCTCTGCGTCATTTCAATGGTGCAGTTTGGTAAACAGCCAGCAGGTGACGATTGTTTCTATTGTTTTTTTTCACTGTTCTGACTCCATGGCAATTGTTTTCAGACAGATAAGTTTTCCGGGGCAGTCCCTGCAGATTGCCCCTCTCCCGTCACCATGGCAACTGATTTGGAGGCGGAGCAACTAGAGGAGCACGAGAACATGAAGAACCTGTTGATCAGCAGCGGCACCGACACTCTGACCGTGGGACCGGGGCTGCGGAGGTCCAGGGCCGTGCGCAGTAAGACCATAGGGCATATTCATGTGTGTGACGTCACCACAGTGTTAGCTTTAAAGTGGAGGAGGCCGATTTGAACATAAGCTAGCTGGAGCCAATTTCCCTATATGGGCATACCAGAGAGGGAGAGAGACCAGAGAAACACCAGAGAGGGAGAGAAGACCAGAGAGGGAGAGAAGACCAGAGAGGGAGAGAAGACCAGAGAGGGAGAGAAGACCAGAGAGGGAGAGAAGACCAGAGAGGGAGAGAAGACCAGAGAGGGAGAGAAGACCAGAGAGGGAGAGAAGACCAGAGAGGGAGAGAAGACCAGAGAGGGAGAGAAGACCAGAGAGGGAGAGAAGACCAGAGAGGGAGAGAAGACCAGAGAGGGAGAGAAGACCAGAGAGGGAGAGAAGACCAGAGAGGGAGAGAAGACCAGAGAGGGAGAGAAGACCAGAGAGGGAGAGAAGACCAGAGAGGGAGAGAAGACCAGAGAGGGAGAGAAGACCAGAGAGGGAGAGAAGACCAGAGAGGGAGAGAAGACCAGAGAGGGAGAGAAGACCAGAGAGGGAGAGAAGACCAGAGAGGGAGAGAAGACCAGAGAGGGAGAGAAGACCAGAGAGGGAGAGAAGACCAGAGAGGGAGAGACACCAGAGAGGGAGAGACACCAGAGAGGGAGAGACACCAGAGAGGGAGAGAAGACCAGAAAGGGAGAGACACCAGAGAGGGAAGAGACACCAGAGCGGTTTTTAAGCCCAAAATGAGCTAGCGAGCTTTTCAATGAAAGCTAATAGGAGAGTTGGAGCAAAACTTTGGCCATGAGCACTTCCCCTCTTGGTCTTCATTAAGCTAGCGGGTTAGCATTGCCCGTCTACAGTCTGTGCTCCCTTGTTTACTCTTACAGGGTGTAATCTGTTGCCCTTGTGCCCCTCCCTCAGGTCACGGCAGAGTCAGTCCCTCGGCTCAGGACGACGCCACAGACGAGATCATGGACCGTCTGGTGAAGTCCGTTACCCAGAATCCTCAGGAGCGCCAGGCCAGCCCCAAAACACGCAAACGCTCCCGGGTCAACAGGAAGTCATGTGAGGCCACTACTCAGTTAATGCAGTCACGCCGGAATGTGTGCGGAACAATGGGAGGCTTTTTATCCCACGCCGTTTTTTAAAATTTGATTTGAACATAATCAGTCTCGGTACAAAACTAAAACAGGACGGAATCCAACCCAGGGCAAGAAGACACACACACACACACACCCTTACACTGAAACACACACTATTACTCTGAGACACACAAAAAACACATACTTACACTTTCACTGAGAAACACACTTACACAGAGACACACGCACACACACTTTCACTGAGACACACATTACACTGAGACATACACACACATTACACTGAGACACACACTACACTGAGACACACACACACACACACATTACACTGACACACACACACACACACACACTTAGAGAAATGTGGCTCCATCTTTTGTGCTCTTTTTCAGTAATAACTTTCAGAAGCAACAAACACTTTCACATGTTCAATGGAGACAAAACCTCAGCAGAAGATTCTGGAAAGTAAAGTGTGATTGTAACAACTTCATGACACCATGAAGAGAATTTTACAGACAGTCCCTTTAATCGTAGTAAATACGTCTCTTTTCTCCCTCTGCTCTAATCCAAAGTCACTTTGTGAAACTTGTATTTTCAGCCTCAACATTCTCTATATTCACAACACGAGTCTGTACAGCTGTAAGATAAGGACCAGAGAGAGACCAGAGAGAGACCAGAGAGAGACCAGAGAGAGACCAGAGAGAGACCAGAGAGAGACCAGAGAGAGACCAGAGAGAGACCAGAGAGAGACCAGAGAGAGACCAGAGAGAGACCAGAGAGAGACCAGAGAGAGACCAGAGAGAGACCAGAGAGAGAACAGAGAGAGACCAGAGAGAGACCAGAGAGAGACCAGAGAGAGACCAGAGAGAGACCAGAGAGAGACCAGAGAGAGACCAGAGAGAGACCAGAGAGAGACCAGAGAGAGACCAGAGAGAGACCAGAGAGAGACCAGAGAGAGACCAGAGAGAGACCAGAGAGAGACCAGAGAGAGACCAGAGAGAGACCAGAGAGAGACCAGAGAGGGAGAGACCAGAGAGGGAGAGACCAGAGAGGGAGAGACCAGAGAGGGAGAGACCAGAGAGGGAGAGACCAGAGAGACCACAGAGGGGGACTAGTGAGAGAGAGTTCTAAATCATTCACATCAATATGTTTTTTTGTGTGTTGCAGTGCGGCGGACACTGAAGAGCGGTCTGAGCCGAGACGTGGTGCAAGCTTTAGGCCTCAACCAGAAGACGTCAGGGGAGAGCATTTGACCCAAGACTGTGATACACACTCAGAGAACACACACACACACACACACACACACACACAAGCAAAAGTATGGATCCAAAGAACACAATTAATACAACAGTGCTTTTAATGGACAAACTCGATGCACTTTGCACCGCTGTGGCCTCGCAGCACACAGACACCCCCCCGGCACATGGCTCACCCAAAGCCTTGAATTAATGCATTTAGAAAAAAAGACTTGATTTTTGGGTCTTAACATTTGTGCAGTATTTAACTACCACTGTTTTGTTGATTACCCAGAGCGACGCTTTGGGTAACGACCGTGAAGAGGAGACCGCGAATACAAGCGGTCCACATGAGTTTCCTCTGCAGTCTCTCTCTCTGTTCTCTCTCTGTTCTCTCTCTGGTCTCTCTCTGTTCTCTCTCTGTTCTCTCTCTGGTCTCTCTCTGGTCTCTCTCTGGTCTCTCTCTGGTCTCTCTCTGGTCTCTCTGGTCTCTCTCTCTCTCTCTGGTCTCTCTCTGGTCTCTCTCTGTTCTCTCTCTGGTCTCTCTCTGGTCTCTCTCTGGTCTCTCTCTGGTCTCTCTCTGGTCTCTCTCTGGTCTCTCTCTGGTCTCTCTCTGGTCTCTCTCTGGTCTCTCTCTGGTCTCTCTCTGGTCTCTCTCTGGTCTCTGGAGTCGAGCCGGTGGGGCCGGGGCGATAGTGAACAGTGGACACATTATTTGAAGATTGTCATGAAGCTTTGTTGCACTCTGTTTTGTTTCATTGTGGTGTGTTTTGAAATAAATGCTTCTTTGTTTTAAGACGCAGGATTTTAACTTAAGTATGTCGTGAGATTGTAATGGACGTTGTATAAAGAACATGTTTTAAAAAATGAATAAAGATTTTTGTTATAAAATTGACCTTGTTATAAATGTGTGAGTTGTTTGACACAAGGGGGCAGTGTTCGCACGCAGGATCGGGGTAACCTGTAATATTACTGTATAAGGAATCATCTTTATACATTTATATTAATGTGTTTACGTGAGAGAGAGAGAGATGTAAATGTATTATGTAAGATTGTATTTCATCATCACACTTACATTATTAGAATCATATATATATATATACAGTATATAGTGCTCCTCTGGAATCCCAAAGACGCTAAACAGCAGTTTTTATTCACTCCATGTCCATTGGTGATTTACTACTGTAGCCATAGCTGCCCTGGGACACACTGACTGAAGCGAGGCAACTAATCTGTTCCATCGGGCCCTCCGACTACCACCAACCTTTCACACACACACACACCAGACTCATTCTAGGCAACGTGGGTGAAGTGTCTTGCTTAAGGACATGACAGTTTGGCCCTTTAAAGCCACAGCTGCCTCACTGTGGCACCAGGTGCTTTCATCTAGAAGATCATGGGTGTCAAAGTCGAGGCCCGCGGGCCAGACTCGGCCAGTGAATGATCTTTTCCCCTGGGATGACATTTGATTAGTATTAGAACCGGTCACAAAAAGCCATAAGAAAATATTGGATTATGAATTGTATCATTTAATAAAATACGGTCCACTGTTAGGTCTTGGTTCAGCAGGTTATATGCAACCATTTTAATATGTTTTGATAAACATTGAACCAGTCCAGCAGGGGCGACAGTAGCTCAGTTGGTAGAGCATTGGCCTTCAGGCCTGAAGGTTGTGGGTTCAATTCCCACCTCGACACCTTCTCCACCGACTCCCACTGATGTCTGCTGTCGTTGTGTCCTTGGGCAAGACACTTAACCCCACTTTGCCCAAAGCCCCCACTGAAAGATCAAGGCTATGCTCACACTCAGAGAGCAGCCGTCCTCCTGTGGACTCACCACCTGCAGAGGGTCAGTGAGGGGCTGGTGCTATGAGACTTGGGTGGCATCTCTGACTGCCACCCCCCTGACCCAGAAATGGATTAAAGGGTAGAAAATGGATGGATGGATGGACAGTCCAGCCCTTGGCTTGTTGCAAATTTGTTGTTTTGGCCCTTAGATGTATTTGTGTACATCCCTTACCTATCTGTCAGCCTCAGTCCTGGATCTACAGTTACAGTCCTGGATCTACAGCCTCAGTCCTGGATCTACAGTTACAGTCCTGGATCTACAGCCTCAGTCCTGGATCTACAGCCTCAGTCCTGGATCTACAGCCTCAGTCCTGGATCTACAGCCTCAGTCCTGGATCTACAGCCTCAGTCCTGGATCTAAAACCACAGTCCTGGATCTACCGCCTCAGTCCTGGATCTAAGACCACAGTCCTGGATCTACAGCCTCAGTCCTGGATCTAAGACCACAGTCCTGGATCTACAGCCTCAGTCCTGGATCTACAGCCTCAGTCCTGGATCTACAGCCTCAGTCCTGGATCTACAGCCTCAGTCCTGGATCTAAGACCACAATCCTAGATGCAGGAGTGGCCATTTCTTCACAATCATCAACATTTCTGAACAGTGGTCATCCCACCCCTATATGGACCAATTAAATTAAATAACAACAAATACATATATGTATTTTATTTCATTTAGAAATGAAATAATTACATATATGTATTATTTACTATTTCATTTCCTGTTTGATTCTCTGATCTGTCGTTGGGGAATCCACAACTTTCCACAAAACTGCTGTTGTGATGTAGGGCTATTCACACAGTTGCATTGAATTGAATCCGGGCTAACAGACAAACACAAAACACAATATTTAGGTCAGATGCATTTCCACCAAGGTCAAAGCAGGAGCAGAGGTCCGCGTACGTGTAGCGTCTCTGCCACATGTTGCTTCCACACACAGACGCGCGCACGCACGCCTCTTTATACTATGATCATACGTCACGAGTCTGGGTCCCTCCTTCAGCCCAGACTCCTTCGTCACTGCCCCAAACCGAGACCAGGACTAAAGACCGGGGGTGGGGGGGTGCTGAGACCTGGCTCTCACCGCTGTCTATATAACCACAGACCCCCGTAGCATCAGGGGCCATGGCAGTAAGCTGATCCACCAACATGACTGCGCACGCCGGGTCTGTCCGTGCGTGTCTGGCGGTGGTGCTGGAGGTGGGGGTGGTGTGTGTCCTGGTCTCGTTCTCCGCCGCTTCAGACCCCGTCGCGGCCGCTGCTGGGACTCAGGACCCGGGGGATGGTGGCTCTCATGCGGGAGGAGAGGAGCATCACCACGGCGGAGGATACAGAGTGGTCCAGTGGGAGTGGAGCTACGTGCAGACCCCCTACATCATCGCGATCTGGCTCCTGGTGGCGAGCGTGGCCAAGATTCGTGAGTTACGCATAACTTTTTACTACGTCTGTGAGCAACAACAAAAAAAAAAAAACGGGATTTTTGTGTTTTGACATAGAACCATCCCACTCCTGGAAACGTGAAATTTAAAGAATAAATATATCACATAATATATCTTTTACTCTTACAAATGACAATGCGACCATGTACTGTGTAATTTCATGTTTGAGATTGTGAAATAATATACTGTAGAAAAATAAATGATTAAAACAAATATGGGGGTAAACAAAAATGCTATCGAACTGACCTCTCCCTCTGCTGCCACCAGAGGGAGGGGTAGAATTTGTTTTGTTTTTTCCCAAATTTTAAGATTACTGGCTAAACCATGGATGTGTGATATTATGGGTGTTGCTGCGTAAACTGTCCCCACCCAGACTAGAGGCCAGATGCGGTACTGCGGCCTAAATCCACACAGGCTGTAAGAAGATTTTCCGATTGATCTCAATGTTCACTAAAATGGCTCATACTCAGAGACCGGGAAATACAGCTTTCACAAAGCCCTGTTTCACTCAGGATTTTGGTCTCTTGCATTCTGAACTGTTTTTCTTTTTAAATCCATTGGTTTTTCAATTATTCAACACTTTTGCGCCACAAACTTGCTCACAAGGCTCAAATGTCCCTCTCAAATGTCTCTCTCTCTCTCTCTCTCTCTGGTATATCTCTCTGGTCTCTCAGGTATTATTCTCTCTAGTCTCTCTGTCTCTGAGGTCTCTCTCTTTGGTCACTCTCTCTGGTCTCTCTCCCTTTGGTCTCTCTCTCCCTCTGAGGTTTCTCTCTATGGTCTCTCTCTCTCTGGTCTCTGTCTTAAATCTCTCTACTCTCTCTCTCTCTCTCTCTCTCTCTCTTACTCTCTCTCTCTCTCTGGTCTCTCTCCCTTTGGTTTCTCTCTCCCTCTGAGGTATCTCTCTATGGTTTCTCTCTCTCTGGTCTCTATCTCTCTCTCTGGTCTCTGTTTTAAGTCTCTCTCTGGTCTCTCTCTCTGGTCTCTGTCTTTACTCTTTCTGGGCTCTCTCTGGGGGCTCTCTGGGGGCTCTCTCTCTGGTCTCTGTCTTAAGTCTCTCTACTCTCCCTCTCTCTCTCTCTCTCTCTCTCTCTTACTCTCTCTCTCTCTGGTCTCTCTCCCTTTGGTTTCTCTCTCCTTCTGAGGTATCTCTCTATGGTTTCTCTCTCTCTGGTCTCTCTCTCTCTCTGGTCTCTGTTTTAAGTCTCTCTCTGGTCTCTCTCTCTGATCTCTGTCTTTACTCTCTCTGGGGGCTCTCTCTCTGGTCTCTGTTTTAAGTCTCTCTCTGGTCTCTCTCTCTGGTCTCTCTCTCTGGTCTCTGTTTTAAGTCTCTCTCTGGGCTCTCTCTCTGGTGTCTGTCTTTTCTCTTTCTGGGCTCTCTCTGGGGGCTCTCTCTCTGGTCTCTGTCTTAAGTCTCTCTACTCTCTCTCTCTCTCTCTCTCTCTCTCTCTCTCTTTACTCTCTCTGGGCTCTCTCTCTGTTCTCTCTCTTCCAAGGCAACGAAGGAAATTGGTTCCAGCTAGCTTATGTTCAATTCAGCCTCTTCCACATTAAGGCTAAGACTGGTGATGTCACGCTCGGTCGGTCCACTCTTCAGACACGCTCAATGGTCATTTTCAGTCTACACACATTAACGCTGATAAAAAGGCAGAACCACTGGTCGCCGTTCTTAAGACGTGCAGCTTTCCACAAACCCTTTGTCTTTTATATTGACCTCTGCAGAACGAGGCTGCTTCATGTTGGATCTGTGGGAAAGAAAGCATTTGTGAAAAATAAATGTTTTCCCAGATAAGTATTTGATAGTGATTAGATTCACAAAGGCGCCAGGTTATTCTTATGTCTGAAAGTCTTTTCTACTTACCAAAGACCATAGAGAGAGACCAAAGAGAGAGAGACCAGGGTGAGACGAGTGAGAGACCAAACTGATTTCACACACAGCTCATTGAATTTCCCAGTTGATATGAAGCGGCAGCTGGAGCCAGATTAGAAAACACAATAGACTGAATAAATACGTCTCCAGAGAAGATAAATCCAGACATTTTAAATGAAAGTTTACCTTGAGGGCTGGTTTGACTCACACATAACTTACTCTCTTTTGTTCTGCAATGTCCAATGAAGCCCGAGGAAAGGCCACCGAGTATTTACGACAGAACCAATGTCATACAGTCTGTTCATGGTAGTAGAAGTCAAACTTTAGACCAGAGAGACCAGAGAGAGACCAGCGGGAGGCCAGAGGGAGACCAGGAAGAGACCAGGGAGAGACCAGCAGGAGGCCAGAGAGAGGCCAGAGAGAGACCAGCGGGAGGCCAGAGAGACCAGAGAGAGACCAGCAGACCAGCAGGAGGCTAGAGAGACCAGAGAGAGACCAGCGGGAGGCCAGAGAGACCAGAGAGAGACCAGAGGGAGGCCAGGGGGAGACCAGAGAGAGGGACCAGAGAGATGCTAAAGGGAGAGGCCTGAGAGAGACCAGAGAAGCCAAATGGCGAGGCAAGAGAGAGAGACCAGAGAGAGGCCAGAGGGAAACTATGAGAGACTAGAGACAGGCCAGATATAGGGACCAGAGATACCAGAGAGAGGTCAAAGAGAGGCGAGAGAGAGACCAGAGAGTGAGACCAGTGAGAGACTGGAGAGAGACAAACGAGAGGCTAGAGAGAGACCAGAAAAAGACCAGAGACAGACCAGAGAGAGACCAGAGGGCGGCGAGAGGGAGACCAGAAAGAGACCAGAGAGAGGCTAAAAGGAGAGGCCTGAGAGAGACTAGAGAGCCCATATGGAGAGGCAAGAGAGAGGGACCAGAGATGGGGACCAGACAAGAGAGAGGCAAAAGGGAAGGGCCAGAGAGATGCCAGAGAGAGATCAAAGAGAGACCAGAGAGAGACAGAGTTAAATAAATCTTGCAAAGTATTACAAAGACCAAGCAGTTAGAGCGTTTTGAGTGTGTTGCAAATATGGCTGTAACAAGTTGAAAGATGAATTTTTTTTTTGAACCACCCACAAACTTAAACACACCGAGGAGAGGTTTTAGGACTGAAATACTTCTATAAGGACTGAAGTTAGACACAAGTTGAAATCCTGCGGACTCTTCAGCTGCAGTGCATTGAGCCTTATTTACAAAGTTGTCTGTGTTGCTGATTTGTGAGCAGTTTTTCACGAGTGGAATTTTTATAGTCGCACGAGCTTGAGTAACTGTCATAAACACAGACGTAACTTCAAAGTCAAAAAATAATCTGTAAATGTCCAAGATATAGTCCACTGTGAGAAGCGAGAGAGTCTGGGTTCATCTGCTCTTTGTTTGTTTACTCTGGTGTTGAAGGAGTTGACAACTTTTTTACAATTTTCTTCTTTAATACTTACAGTCCTGGAGTTGTTTTTAGATCCATCTATGCTCAGGAACTTCTGGTACAAACATGTAGCCCCTCCCCTCCGTCTAAAAGACCGGAGAGAGAGCAGAGAGAGAGAGAGAGATAGAGAGAGAGAAGACAAAGAGACCAGAGAGAGAGAAAAAAGGGAGAGAGCATAGAGAGAGCATAGCGAGAGCAAAGTGAGACTAGAGAGAGACTAGAGAGAGACCATAGAGAGACCAGAGAGAGACCATAGAGAGACCATAGAGAGACCATAGAGAGACCAGAGAGAGACCAGAGAGAGACCAGAGAGAGACCAGAGAGAGACCAGAGAGAGACCAGAGAGAGACCAGAGAGAGACCAGAGAGAGACCAGAGAGAGACCAGAGAGAGACCAGAGAGAGACCAGAGACAAACAAAAGTACAGCCCCTTAATTGATTCTAGCAATTTCTCAGATGGGATGACATTCACAGGTCTGTGTTTGAAGCCGGTCATTTTCAAATTTGGAGAAAACCCCAAAACAAATGCCACTCCTCCCTCTGGTGGCATCATAGGGAGTTACAGGTAGAAAGTATTTTTTAACCTTCATGTTTCACCATACATTTTCTACTGAAGATACTATCTCGCAATCTAAAACATGAATGACTGAAGTGTGCCAAGTCTGCTTCAAAACACAGACTGTATAAAGACGGACAATGCTAACCTGCTAGCTCAATGAAGCCCAATAGGAAAGTGCTCATGATGAAGTTTTGATCCATCTCGCCCTGGCTTCTATTGACTTGATGTAAGCCAGAGTAGTAAGTAAACTCCTCTAGCTCAGTAACCGTTTGCGTCACACTTAACATTTGGGGCTTAAAAATATGTGGTTTAGCGCTCTCTGTGATCTCCAGCTTACCTTAGCAACTACCTTAGCAACACGTTGGCCCGTATTATGGCGCGAAGCTACCGCCGTCAAAGCAAATGCCCATATAAGGAAACTGCCTCCAGCTACCTTATGTTCAAACCGGCCTCTCCCGCACTAAGGCTAACACTACGCTGATTGTACACTCTCTCAGTCCACTTCTAATATAAACTCTACGCTTCAAACCCACAGACAATGAGCTCACGCTTCTTTACTATTGCATTTGGGGCCTCAGACATGCTGCTGCTTGTTGCTTGTGTGTCGTTGCTGGTCCCGGTGCTCTGGTGACTCACGGCACAATGGTCCACTCTGTGCTCTTTAATGATGCTGTAACGACTGCAGCAGCGTCAGTGTTCAGGCAGCTGTGGCTCTGCCCTGTCCGACCATTTACACAATTCAACAAGTCACTTTTCACTTCTTCCAATAAAGCACTCTCTCTCTTTCTCTGATCTCTCTCTCTCTGGTCTCTCTTTGGTCTCTGCGTCTGTTCGTTCTGTGGTCTCGCTCACTTGTCTCTCTCTGGTCTCTCTCTGGTATTTAATATTTGCCTTTCTCCGATCTCTCTCTCTGGTCTGAGTGGTCTCTCTGGTTTCCGTGTCTGGTCCCTCTGTGGTCTCTCTCTCTCTGGTCTCTCTCTGGTCTCTCTCTCTTGTCTCTCTCTGCTCTCTCTCTGGTCTCTGTCTCTGGTCTTTCATATTTTCCTTCTCTGATCTCTCTCTAGTCCGGTCTGTCTCTC